GCAGTTTAGTTGAATAGCCCTGCTTTAGTTGTTTACAACCTTTAACTGCTCATTTCAGCTGTTGTTCAGCTCTTTTCAGCTTCTTTATGCTAATTTCAGCTTCTTCTTTTTTTGTAGCTTCATTTGGCTATTTTTGACTAATTTCAACGCGTTTCTGCTCATTTCAGTTTCTTTTTTGCTAATGTCAGATTTTTTGTAATTATTCAGCCTCTATTTCAGCTTATTCTGCTACATTTCTGACCGATTCAGCTTTTTCTACACGTTTCTGCTGTTTTTTTTTTTTTTTTAATGCGTTGCGTTTTTATTTTTCTGCTTTCTGCAAATATCAGCTGTTCAAACTCTACTCGAATTAAAAATTCAGCGATGAAATCTTTTCAGCTGATTTCAGCAAAACCATTCAGCAGTAAGCGTTCGCGCTGCATTGTGACAGGACATGACGTTTCTCTAGTTTCAAAGTCTTTTGACACAGTTTGTTGTAATAAATAAATAAATAAATAAATACAGTTTTCAAAGTGCTTGATGCTTCCCTCTGAAAGGCATTAAACATGTATTTGCCTGTGTCTTCTGTCTTGTAGCAAAATAATCTCATGAACCACTGGACCAGGGGTCTGCAACTTTTTTGATCAAAAGACTAATTTCTTCTCCTTCGCTCACGACATAAAATGTGTCCGGAGCTGCAAAACCTGCTCCAACTCTGGTGACCCGTGGGCCACTTCACTGTTTGCTGAAGGGGCCTTTTTCTATCTAAAAAGAAGTTGTGAATTTTAACATTTATTCACATTTTTATGAATTGTCATTTATTCAACAACTATTAATCTACTCCTTGTAGTATTAGTTACATATTTGCAGAAAAATTACAGAAAAACTGCTAATCTGTTGTGGGAATAAAAACCAATGAAATTAAACGTCGTCTTAATTTTGTTGAAAGAGCCGCAGCAGTGGGACCAAAGAGCCACACGTGGCCCCAGAGCCACAGGTTGCAGACCCCTGCACTGGACAAATCCTAATGAAAGTCTTTGAAACCCAACAACTGATTAACGTTTGGAGTCTACTTGATTCAAGATGGCCACCACAGATAATTGGCTTTAGATAAATTACTTCATCAAACATAAAAAAACCGTCTAACAGTTATTTTTACAAATAAGGAGCTAAAATCTGGTGTGGTAGTAGCTGAGAGTCATCCCCAACACGTCCTTTGAACCCCAACAGATGGCACATGATCTCACAGCGTCGCATGGAGTCACGCACAACTGTATTTTCATGGTTTCATCAAAACGACCGGTGGTCCTCAGGGAGCTTTTCTTGGAACACTGATTTTAATTTTTCTTAAGATCTGAAATTATAAGCCCCTTCAGGTTACTTAGGATTTTTTTTGTCTATTTACCCTTTATCTATATAGGTAGTCTCAATGAGCTATGAGAACTCATTTTTTGAGTTGCTGACAAATGTTACAGAATTTGTGTTAAAAGTTTCCTTTTTATTTGTTTTCCAGGCCAACTTTTTACAACAGCACCGACACCGTGAAGGAAACTGACCCACTTCAGTTAGAATTATCTGTACCGGACTTAGCTGAACCTCGCATCTCCCCAACAGACGACCCAAACCACCAGGAACCAGTTTGTTACTCAGTGGAAGCCATGCTTGGACCTCAGCTGTCCAGAACTTTCTCTAGTTTCTCCAAAACTCCTGGAAGTCAAGAGTCTTCTGATAAAACTGAGAACTCTTCACACCAAAGTGAAGCTCCCTACTCTGTGGAGGTTGTCCTCAGATCATATAAACCGGTGCTAAATACAAAACCTCCTTCTCTTACGTTACTTCATAACCACAGAGCAGTTTCTGAGGCAGGTGGAGATGCTCAAAACAAGACGTCACAAAACGACAAAGATTCAGTAAACGCGTTTCAGGAGATCAAGTCGAAGAGTTTTTTGTCTTCTGGAGTGAACGCCGACGTGATTTCAGACGCTTCTTGTAATCTAAACGGACAACGTGCTGAGCTATCATCTCAGGGAGTTAAACTGACGCCGTGTCTCGTCGTCTCGGAGGCAGAGCAGTCCAGAACCTCCAGAACTGAAGAAGTCATGAACCAGCCGACAGGAACGACATCCTCCACAGGACGCACGCTTCCACCCAAACATCCAGGTCTTCCTAAACCTTCATCTTCTTTAGATGTGGATGAGTTTACAGGAAGAGCTGCTGCTTCTGTTGGACCTGTTGGTAAAAGTCTTGCCTCTAATGTTGGCGTTCATCGTTTCGCAGCGAAACAACTCGCTGAGATTCTACAGAACTCCAAAAAGAAACATTCTACAGATGAACCTTCTGCATCTAAAATCACCCCGAAGAGTCGAAGAACGTCAAACCAAGTTGGACTTGTTGAAGCCCAGCGACCGTTCATTAGGCGTTCTGCAGACCCGCTCACCGGCTGTGCGGCTCCGTCTGCTGGTTCTGAGAGTCTCCTTAAACCCGAGCGCTCTGCGGACGTGAGAGGAAGCTCCTCGGCCTTCCTCGGCCTCTTTGCGACGCCTCTCAGTGCTTCTGATCCGAGGTCTCGGTCTCAAACGTCCCGCTCTGCTCACACAGCCTCTGGTTTAGAGTCCATCTCATCCGGGCTCAGAACTGAAGCCCGACAGACTCCTCTGAGGCAAACCTCGCTGACTCCCCTGAGTCTGAAAACTGACGACGCTGCAGCGAAGCAGACGGCGGCTCCAGGTTCCTGTCGGTCTGAGCCTCAGCCGCCGGACGTTTCAGCCCCCAGAGGTGAGAAAACGCACAAACACGGAGTTCCTGGATCTGAAATGCTGTGTCTGTTTTCAGCACATCTTCAAGATCAAGGTCACAGATCAAGGTCAAACTTAAAACAAGGTCTTTGTCTCGCCCACATCTTCTGATCTGCTCAAGATCATTAAGCAAAACTGTAAACACATTTCTACCACTAGACAGTGTTTTGCATAAACTCAGCTTCAAGGTCACAAATCAAGGTCAAAGCAGTACACGGTCTTTGTTTTTTCAGGCTGTTGCTACAGATTGCTGTGTAATGTTCTGTTGTAGAAACATCAAATTCAGTCCTGAAGACCCTTTTTCTGCATCTGAAGCCGTTCCAGGAGGACAGAGACCACCAGCTCTGCAGGCAGAGCTTCATCCACCCAGGTTTGACCTTTAGTTTGACCCAACAAAGACATTAAATTCTGCTCGTACGCTCGGGATCATTTACCCTGAACATAAATCGATCTGATTAAGATTCAGACGGCGGTGATGCGATTAGAAAACGATGATGCGTCCAACTGAAATGACTGAAACGCTGATTTATCCGCTTTCATATCTGACAGAGCATTTTGACCGCAGGCTGTTGATCAACAGTTAGCATCGATGCTAACATAAAAACACCAAAGAAAAGCTAAAGAGATGGTGTTTATTTCTGAAAATGTATAATTAAGGTATCGTTAAAGGCAGCTGTGTTGAAAGGATAAAAGATGTGAAAACACAACCTCACTGCAACGTGTTTGTTCTTCAGCAGCTACGGTAGCTCTACTGGGACATACGGAACCGAGCAGCATCTACTCTGCAGACGGTCTTCTGTCATCAGCAACAAGTAATTGATCCATTTTTGACTATTTGAAATTTGATGCAGAGCCTTTCGTATCCCCGGTGCGTCTAAAAAAAGTCGATTATAACCCGAGCTGAGGATTGACCTGCTTTCTGCCGGCGGTCTGATTTCAGGCGGCGAAAGCGAGACGAGGGGCGCCGAGGAACGACAGCTGAAGGAACGGAAACAATGGAACGGAAGAAAGCAGAACGACCTGGTTGGTATTTTACAATTAGAGAGAGCAGCTTTTTCTCACCTGCTGCCCTGAAAGGTTGGAAATCATGTTCATCCTGTTAGCAAAATATCTCATGAGCCACTGGGTGGATTTGAATAAATCTAAGTAATCACTGGATGAATGTCTACAACTTATTCAAGATGGCCGCCACAACTAAAGCGAAAATGGCTTGGTTGAGTCAAATTTCCAGAGGCTGAATTAAAAACTGAGTGGTAGTAGCTGAGAGTTATCGTCATCGTAGACTCGGCAGGAGTTTTATAAAGTCTCCCAAACAAATCACTCAAGTTTTATCCTGATAACTTAGTTTTATTTTTTATTTCCCCCCCTGACAGTCGACTGAGAAAACGTCTTTGCTCCGGACGGATCTCCGCTCCCGGACTCGTCGGAGCGAGGGCCCAGGACGGTCGACGGTCAGCGTCCCGTTTGAAGCGGCGACTCGTCACCGCGGCCCGGGAGCGAAGCCCACCTCCGAGGAAGGAGCGGCGGTGAGCAGAAACGCAGCGGTAACGCCGCTCAAAGATCTTTTTAAGACTTTAGGTGCTTTTTCTCCTCCGATGTAACAACAACAACAAAAAAGTGAAGGATTTAAAAGGATTTCTTTTAATTTCTGCAGAATCTTCTTGTTTTTTCATCCACTATGCTACGATGCACGCCCTTATATTAAACCTACAAACTTTTGTTGTATAATTTAACACAAATAAAACCTTTTTTTTTTATATATAAATCAGGTGTAATGTTTCGCCCTGAGTGCACAGCCAGGGTTGAACTTTGGTGAAGCCACTCCGGGTTTTCCCCGCTTTCCTCCTTTCTGCAGGAATTAAATAATAATCTGAATAAACTTTCTCTTCAGACGGAGAGGCGACCAACTTATCTTGTCTAGTTCCTGTAACCGTCCAAAAGGTCCATGATTCTGTAGGAATGCACGAACTGTTATGTACTATAACGTTACTCGTAAATATTAGTTTTTTTGGTGTAAAAATCACAGTTAAACGTGGTCACTGTAGCGTTTAATCCCCCCACCTTGTTGCTTTGACCTTTGACCTCCACTTACCTGCATGAATTTCGCTGCTCGTTAAAATTTCTTTTTTTTATTTTTTATTATAGATTTTTTTTTCTGATGCAATAAAAAATAGTTCAGGTGTTTCTTACTGTTTATTTAAAAAAAAATCCAGAGAATTAAATTTTCAGAATATTGTGAAGTTTGTGTCATTCTCACTGTTTTTGCAAATATTTTTATTGCTCGCAATAGGAGGGTGATAATGTTGTTGCCTTTGTTTGCTGGCAGAATATCTCACGAACCACCGGATGGAGTCGAGTAAAAATCTTAAAACGTTCAAATAAAACACAACGTTTGGAATCAAACAGTTACAGAACATAAATATCTCTAAGTTAAGTTATTTTTACAGACATTGAGCATAAATTTGATGTGGTAGTAGCTGAGAGTCGTCTTCAATACATACTGAGCGCTAATTGTATTTAATCACAAAATATAATTATTTGAGATAGTTTGATTTAAGTCTCAGCGGACGCCTTCCTTTAAAGAATACCACACATTTATTCTTGTGAAACATTTTAAAACTGCACTATTGACACACTAATTTTATTGTTTTATTTAGTTATTTAACCATTTTTTTAATGATTTAAAATATAATTCAGTTTTTAGATGGCGTCACCAGAAGGCGTCGTTTCAAAATTGTTTTTAATAAAAAAAGTTATATATAAAACAAAACGATCATCAGATCTTAAATTGACGAACAGTTCTTTTATTCATAAAGTTTAATTTCACACATTTGTGAATCACAAAAAACACGTGAAAATTTAAAATAACTTCAACTCAATATGTGCAAACAAGATTTTATTACATTAAAAAAATAGACATTTGAAAATAAAATATAGAAGGAGGGAAATGTGAAGGTGAGTTTATTATTTTGTAAAATGCATTTTGAGCAAATTAAGTTTAGACAAATCGATAAACTTGTTGCATTAAATATTCTGTTAGATGAGTCGACCAGAGAAAAGTTTAAATTAAATTTTCATCTCTTACATCAGAAGTGGCTCACTGGAATTCAAAGACCTGAATAAATGAATTCTGACCTGGAGACAAATCGGTTTTAAAACCTGGATGAAAATGACAAACTTGAATCAACGTGCACGAATTTCAAACTTTTTTAAACAAGCGGTGAAGGAAAAGCATTTTAATAAAGTGTAAAAACAACCAGACGATGAAGCAAACTGTAAGGTTTCTGTCGGCCGGAGGAAAATAAACGTATTTTATCACAAAAAACTACAAAGGTTTGTAAACTCGGTCATCCTGGTACACAAATCACAAAAAAGTGACGACAAAAGAGTGGATGGAGAAAAGTTTCAGGAGTGATTTGCAACAAAAAGGTCAAAGGAAAAGTTTACAAGACAGTGGAGAGACCAGCTATGTTGTCTGGTCTGGAGACAGAGACATGGACAAAAAGACAGGAGACAGAACTGGAAGTGGCAGAAATGAAGATGTTGAGGTTCTCCTTAGGAGTGACAAGGATGGATAAGATAGGAATGAGATCATCAGAGGTGCAGCACAGGTTGAACAACTGGGAGATAAAGTTAGAGAGACCAAAGAGGAAGATGTATGATGCGGTTAGAGAGGACATGGAGGTAGTTGGAATGAGGACAGACGATGCAGAGGACAGAGTGAGATGGAGGAGGATGGTTCGCCGTGGAGACCCCTGAAGAGAGAAAAGCTGAAAGAAGAAGTTCTCAGGATGTTTCTGTGTGTAGCAGGTTGACCATCAGGCTTTAAACATTTGATTATTATTCATGATGATTGATTGTTTTGGACAGACGGTTCAATTTTTGGAAGTCCACAGAGGGCTGGCTTGAAACACATCAAGGAGGTGCTATTTATAAACCAGATGTTGGTGCCAGGCCTCAGACTGATGAAGTCTTTCTGATGAAAGACGAACCCTTTCTCCCAAAAATAAACAGTCCAGATGACGATTTTACCTTTTTTTGTGATAAAAAAAGTTAGATTTTCTATTTAAAGGCTCTTTTTGAATCACTAAAACTGCTTTATCCACCTGTCCGTCCATCTTTCCATCCAACATCCATCTGTTATCCATCCATTCAACATCCATCCATCCAATGTCGTCAATCGTCCATTCAAGTTCAAGTTGTTTGTCACATGCAGGTTAACACAAGGTCAACAGTATAAAGAAAAATTCCGGATCAGAAGAACCGATTTGACTCGCTAAAAACAAAAAAACAAGAAGTACTAAAGCATGCAATAAAGGTACAAAATAAAGTACCAAAAAGTAATTACTGTATATTATTTACAAGGTTCTAAAGAGAGAGAATACACAACAACATGGTAGAGTATAACTGTGCAGGTAGGATGAATTTGTATGAACAAGTATTTCAAGGTAGTAATATAAACTAAAAATGCACATGATATATATTGTACATAACTAACATATACTACACAGGTTGTGTGTTAACCTGTTATCCAACCAACATCTGTCCATCCAATGTCCGTCCATCCAACATCTGTCGTCTATTTGTCCATCCATAAATGGTAAATGGACTGTACACTACGATCTGTGCCTCGTTTACTCATTCATACAGCACTCTATCTATACAGAGACTAATCAGAGTGTCTTGCCCAGGGACACTTCAGCATGTGTGACTGCTGGTGGAATCGAACTCCCAACCCTTGCATTGGAGGACGACTGCTCCGACCACTCAGCCACAGCCGCCCTACAACATCCATCCATCCGTCATTCATACGCAGAGTCGTCGTATTATTCCCAATAAATTATTTTGGTTCATCTATCAAAGAGCAGATAAAAAGGTTTAATCCAACATTTCCACTATCCATCCATTATCTTTACCCGCTTCTTCCATTTTGGGTCACGGGGGTCGCCGGTGTCCATGTCCGGCAATCACTGTGCGAGGGGCGGGGTACACCCTGGACAGGTCGCAGGTCCATCACAGGGACACATAGAGACAAACACCCATTCACTCTCTCACTCACACCTAGGGACAATTTAGAGTTACCAATCAGCCTAACATGCATGTTTTCGGTCAGCGGGAGGAAACCGGAGTACCCAGAGAAAACCCACGCATGCACGGAGAGAACATGCAAACTCCACCCAGAAAGGCCCCCAGACCGGGATTTGAACCAGGGACCTGCTCGCTGAGAGGCAGCAGCTCTACCAGTTGCGCCACCGTGCTGCCCACATCTCCGCTAACGATTATATATTTTTCTTTGCATTAAATAAACAGACCAAATGGAAGGACACTGTTCAAAGCTCGTCCTTTAAATGTATCCATGTGCGAGTCCTGAGAGATGGAGTCCCGATCTTCTTACACCATCTCCGAGGTCTGCTCGTAGTTTACCAGTAACTCCTGAAGGCAAACTAAACTCCGCCTTAGATCTTTGAACATTTAGGACCACCGTAGCTTAGCATTGATTGGGAGTTTTAACTAAAATAAAACCCATTTCAAGAAGGAACCAATAACCTCCCAGAACATGGTAGTAGCTGAGAGTCATCCCCAACATACAGTGGGCTTGAGATCTTTGTTTAAATCTTTGGCATGCATGGCGGCGGACGATCAGGTTGCTTTAAGGAATGTCACTTTTATTTATTGCTAAGAAGAATGAGAAGTGCGATCCCTGTTTTACCAGATAAATGTGGACAGACGAATCCCCACGATGGAAACACCAACGTGTGTGAGACTGCCAAAACTTCAACCTGACACGTGAGAACCCAGAGAAAAATGTTGGTTTTAAGAGAAATCCAGATCTTTTTCTTTGACCGGGCTGCCGTTAGTCTCGCTGGCATCAAGAAGTGTTTTCTCTTCAGGAGCTGGGTGAGATTTCTCTTCGGTTTCTGAAACGGTCGTCATCCCGTTGCCAGGGGCGAGGCTCGTTTCTTTATTGTCTTCAACAGAAACTTGGTCATCTTGTTCCTGATAATCCTGTATCGTTTTCCTCTTGAAGCAGCCCAACTTGTGACAGACATGAGAACAATCGTTAATGAACAGGTTTTTTTCTTTTCTTATCGTAAATCAGTGAATTTTCATCAAACGGCCCCAAGAACCAGAGTTGGAAATCTCACCTTAAACATGACGACTGTGATGACGATCATAAGCAACAATCCGAGTCCAGCTCCCGTTAATATAATCAACAGCTCATTGGGGGGGATTATGAGCTCAACACGAACTTCAGCCTATTAGCAGAGAAAATGCACTTTGTGTTTAAGTTTTATAATTGAGAATGTTAGTAGTTGAGATTTAATAAAAGCAACTATGTACCAATTTCATTGTTGGATTGTCGTCCTTCCACAGATCAGAGTTTAAAAATGTCTCCTGTTTGAAACCATTTTTCTGTGTAATAAAATGCAATAAATTAGGTGATTTCAATACAGTATATTTAAATGGCTTCACCATAGTCAACCTTAAACTTACCATTTGCTTATGAGAAGCCAGAACATATGTGTTTCTGTCGTAGTCAACTTGTATAAAACTCCTAAATTTGACCTCTTTGTCATTTCTAGTATATTGTTGAAGAAAGCCAATATTCTGTAAAGTAAATGTGTATTATTTAAATAAATTTCATGCATGCTGTGTATTTTATGGTCAGCTGCTGCAGTACATACCGCTGCATGTTCTTTGAAGTCTTTGAAATGTACAAGTCCCTCCAACCGAAACTCAACATCTGAGTTGTTCTTTAAAATAAAAGTGTCACACGTCACCGTGACACACTTGTTTTCTGGTGAGCAGGACTGCAACAAAGCAACACTTTATGTTACTGAGGGATTCATGATTTAGTTTGAGTCTGGATATTTTAACTGGAAATCAATTTTAACTCACCTCAGATTTCAGGTCGGAAACATTCGAGCACCGCGTTTTGTTCTTAAAAGACATGGAAGCAGAACGTAAGCGTTTAAGGTTTGTCGTTAGACACACAGCAGCCATATGAGTTGGACATTAAAAAAAATACCTGCTGATCAAAAACTTTGTATTCGATCACTTCAAAGTTGTGTTCCAGTTTAGTTGGGAAGAACAGAGATACGTCAACAGGAAAATCTTTAAAACCAGTGTTATCTATCTGTAAACGAGAAGAAACCACATTTACATTATTGTCTACCACCTTGATTTGCTGATTTAAGATTGGGTCATCAAGAATGGAACCAGGAGGCAACCTAATCAGATACTCGAGACAGCTTTTGACGTTGAGAAGCAGCAGCTCAACTTCAAGGTCCTCTCAGATGACCATGACTTTCACCCCATCTCTAACGTTGAGCTAGAAGAGGTCATTTCAGCTGCTTGTTTCAAGAATCTTTCTTTCAGTCCAAACACTTATCTCAAGACCATTGAGGGTTAGAACTCAGAAGGAACAATACATTGAATCTTGAGCCTTTTGACTCAGGTCTGCAATTACTATGATGAACCAGAACAATGTCCTTGTTATTGGAAACGAAACCCAATCCACTGGTCCACCTCTCCCACCACCCTGCCATCACTCGCGAACAAAACGCCAAATTAGACAAAGGGATGCTGTGACACAGAAGGAGCGTTCCAACTTTTTTTCTGGCTGAGAACATTGGCCTCATACTTACAGGAGCTACTCTCATCCTGGCCCCTTCACACTCAGCTACAGCGCTCCAATGCACAGTGAAGGTCATGTTCTTAAGACACCAACCTTATGACATCATCTGAGATTGTGGTGCCCAAACCAGACACCCTCCTTTTTTACAACGGCACCTAAAGATCACTACAAACGGGATTGAGACAGAGAGGAGCATAGGCAGAGTCCAACTGACAATGGAAACCATCAATACTTCATGCCAACGATGCGCCCATAGCTTCTGTTTTGGCCACACAAAGACCAGATAGCCATCAAGAGTGGCCCTGACATCCCATACTCCTACAACACCTTCCCAAGCAATCCCACCAATTTTTGGTGGAGTGGTTTGAGAAAGCTGCGTAGATGAGAATAGGAATCAAAAAAGACGTCCATTGACATCTAATGAACTTCCTAGGATCACCTTTTCCTGGGAAACTGAGAAACTACACATACTTTAGTGGATGCAGGTGCAAGCTTCTCAAGGCTCACAAAATACATTTGGACGGGATCACCAATGTCCCATCATCCCCACAACACTGCAACTGTTAAGATCTGGTCTGCTGCTCCAAACAAACAAACAAAAAACCCACGTTGCTCCTCCTGGATCAGAGGTTCAACAATCGGACGGTGTCTCTTAACTGCCTGGGGAGATCCCCTTTGGGCAGCTCCGTAGTAGAAGATTATCCTGTCCCGGTTCAAGAGTTGTGTTTTAGAGCCAACACTGTGTTTGGAGGTTAACCCAACTACGTTTACTTGGTATCACTCAACCTAACACACACATTTAGGATCCTTGGTGCCATTCCAGGTTCCCGGAGCCAGCTAGCTTCTTCAGTATTTACTTGTCTTGAGTTCCAAGAATCACTGCTTGGCCATGAGGTCAAGGTGGCATCCAGTGCCACTGAAGTCTGAATTTTTCCTGAGACCAGTGTATCATGAGAAACCTTACTGGAGATGACATAACAGAAAACACAGCCCCCAGGATTAAAGTTGGAGGGTACATGCACCTCTCCTTCACATTTAATAATTAGGAGACTCACTTTATATATAATGTCCATTTTCTTAGGTGTGGAATCCTCAGTCGATGTCGTGAAGTTCAAATAGGTGACAGTGTTTTCATTTCTAGAAGGAATACAAGATGAGTAGAAGATACGAGGATGTAGAGAGACCTACTGGGTTAAATAAAAACATTTACACAGCAGATGTGCAGTACAAAATACTATCATTGCCAATATTTCTACTCACATCGTTAATGCCATTCTGGTTTCATATTGTACTGGGATACTTTTGGTCACGGAAGCAGAATAGCTGGAGTTTGAGGTGTCACTGAGGGTGCAAAAGACGATCTCTGTCAATAATGTTGCATTTTTCAGCAGCACAGTCAATTTTTGTCTTTCCTGGTTGTTCCAGGTACCTATTTCCAGTCACAGTCATGGATATGGTGTCATTCCACTTAAAGTCCTTTGAGACGTGGAATGCAGTTTTGAACTTTGCCTTCAATACCAAGAAACAACATTAGATCAAACGCAAGCAGAAACAAAGGATCTGAGTGTAAGAGAAAGCCGTTAAACTATTCAGACAGTAGGTCTCAGGTCTTGATTTATGAAAGCTCTTTCTGTCTGTTAGGATGGTTTCTGTGGTCTGACTCACAGAGGATCTGCTGCGATACACTGGAAGGCTGATCCCACACACGGTTTTATCGAGAACTTCATCCAGATCCAAACAGTTGTGGAGGACTGATCTGGAGGACTGATGGAACAAAATGAATCATGTTATAAAGCTATAAGCTATTTATGATTGTATTGTTGTCGTCGTTGTTCCACTGTCGTCATCATTCTTTGTTAAAATTCAGGTCTCTCTTGTAAATGAGTCCCCAAGGCTCAGTGGGATTAACCAGTATAAATAAAGGTTGAATAAAGCTCCAGGTTTAAATGCAGAAGTGCAATGAAAACATACACATAAGAATAAATTAAATATTTCAACCTTTCAGAGGGACGTTGTGTGTTACAGTTTGTGCGCCTGTTGTAAAAACTTCACATCCTATGTGAGTTTCAAATCCTCAAAAAAGTTCCTAGTCTTTTGGTGCCACTTGTAATGTAAAATATAAACAAAATGCATATTGACAGTGTTTTAACAACAAGGGTAATGTGATATTATATTGTCCTCTCATTTTTCTTCTTTATTTCATTTTTAACAAGTATAACCATAATTCAACACTGAACCAACAACTCAGAACCATTCTTTGTTTTGTACCATTTTAATTTTTGTATCATAACAGCTATCATATTGCATGTAAAAAAACATTGTAAACATGAGCAGTTGTCACAGTGTAAAAGCAATATAATGAAGAGGTTATTTAAAAAAATACTTATTTTATGTTGCATAAAAGGAACTTGACGCCACATATCTATGTGCCGATTCCTCTTGAATATATTCTCGGATTGCGAAGAATTATTGTCAAAAATTATCACGGAGTAATGATTGAGAAATAAGCAGAAGCATCATAATCTGCTGTTTTTCGCATGGAGATTGGCAGCAAAGCCTTTTTTGTAAAATTCCGTCCAATTAGGCGCATGCGCGTATAGACCTCGTTTGCAAATCCTATCTAGCGTTGCCAAATGTGTGATAAATGTCGTATATATGTCAATGGCATTCATTCAATAGTTTTATGTGTACTATGCGTATATATACGGTATATATATATATTTTGTGTGTGTGTGTGTGTGTGTGTGTGTGTGTGTGTGTGTGGGGGGGGGGTCAGACTACCCAGACGGTGTGCTGAAAAGGAGCGTCCAGTAGCACGACCAGCACCAGTACAATATTTCGTGATTTTTGTAATCTGGCAACCCTGACTTGCCGTTACTGGAACCTCCACTGCGGTTCCTGCGAACCTGTCCAGAGTGAAGGCTCAACTCACAAGCTAAGTTAATTCAAAGTACAATAACTGTGAGTAAATATTTTTATCGATTGTATTTTTTGTTAGTTTCCTTAAATATTTAGAATTGTATTGTAAAAAGTGTTGGGGGAGTGATTTTTCATCTTTTTTTTGGTCTTTTTTTTACCGTTAGCATGCTAGCATTAGCTAGCCTACCCTAAATTTTCCTCATTGTTTCTGAAGTTCAGCTGCGCTTTTACACCAACAAGACACGAGGAAAATAGTTTTCAAACTGTCCAAGTGGCAACAAAATTATTATTAGTTTGCATTGTGGAGTTTGTATAAGCCATATAAAATAAATAATTTATGTAATTATTGTGCTTCTTGCTAAACAAATTCATTACAGTGTGTGTATATATATATATATATATATATATATATATATATATATATATATATATATATATATATATATATATGCTCATTGGCTCACACTTCTCTATTTGTAGTGTAATAGAATACTGATTTAAATACCTCTCCCCCCCAAAAAAAAAAAAAAAAAATCCTTGTCATTAATAAATTTTGCTATAATAAATATGTTAATGAATATTTTCAGATGTGGTAATTTTTGTATGTCAGGTTCTGTTGTGTGCTGAGGCTCTGGTTTCATGGTTGTTTTATTCCTCACCCATTTGTGACATTAAGGATATTTTAGTGTTTCGGGAATTTGTTCTTTTTTGAACATGAACGGGAAAAATTTGGGAGTTAATATGGTTGAGGCCTAACGCAGAAGATTGTTGTCACTTAAAAGTTTTGAAAAACTTAGGAAAGAGGTTTTGTTTTGCTTTTATTTATTTTTCTTAAAAACGGCAAAAAAAAAAAAAAAAAAGCCGGATATATTTCTCTTAATTAAACCGTTGCTAAAGAGAATAATCATTTAGTTCAAGTAAATTAACCTAAAGTGTGGATTAAAATAAAAATAAAATTGGATTAAATTAAAATGGGATTAAAATTAACCTTTTTAATCCAAGCAAAAGGATGTTTCATCAGATTATTGTTATATTTATAAACTGTTAAATTGCATTGTACATGTACTGTGTGGATAATAATAGTTGGGCATGACGATAGATATTTCAATCACCTCTGTAAGCTCCATCATTGAGAAGGAGAGACCAGGAGGGTAGTGCATCGTCAGGCTGGTGTTGTATGAGTCGTCACCGTGGTTATCCAGTTTTATCCACATGTAGAAGTAGCTGTTTTCAGTCACCACAAAAGTTTCAGACCTAAGAGAGTCAGAGGACTTATGATCAGCCAGAAGTGATTAAAGTGATAAAAGAGCTGTACGGTGTCAACAGAGATACTCACAGGAACTGCAAATCCACATCAAGCTGAGCGATGCAGACATCATTTTTTTTACACTGTTTTTCAAAGGGAGCCTGTAAAAATAACAAACTGTATTTATTTATTTTTAAATATCTAATAAGACAGCATACACCTCAGACTATCTCCATAAGAGTGAGCGTTCATTGGTTGACGAGCAATTTTTTTTCTTGCGGTGCAGCTGTTGCTGAGCGGTTAGAGCAGTCATCCAAGTGGGGATTAGGCGTCTTGCTCAGAGACACCACGACATGTGGGAATGGCTGGGAGTCGAACCTCGACTTTCTGGTCCCACCTTTACCCCATCTCGGTCCCATTGTGATCTAAAGCACCGATTAGTCTTCACCATGTATCATTTATCTTTGCATTAAACATCAGAGTGACATATTTCTAAACAGTAAACTTGACGTTTTATTCCAAACAATTTAAAATCAACATCAGTCGGACTAGACTTTTCAAATAAAGCCGTCAACTAAAGCATGAATGCAACTTTTTAGCTAATTCCTTTAAAAATGTAATATAGACTGCAGTCAGACGAAAAACAAAGCCGTTTGACTTTGTATATTATTTATGTAAAACATTTGTTAAATGTTCTTGAATAGAAAACAAGATTTGTAAGTCTACGTGTTGCACTCTGAGATGGAGTTTTATGTTAGAAGTTTCTTTCAAGCCTCGAGAATCTGAAGCTGGTGTTTTAGTAAAACCAGAAGGCCAAAGGGTGATGGAAAATAACATTTCTTTTATGAAACATTCTTACATCTTTAGTCTGTTTTTCTTTCGGCTGCTCCCTTCTTCAGGGGTCGCCACAGCGAATGAACTCGCACGAAGACTAGGCAGTTTTTCTTTCTGCTGAATGCCCTTCCTGATGCAACCACAGACCACCGAGCTGACATCTAGCGCACCCAGGGGAGCAGACGATGGGGGTTAAGAGCCTTGCTCAAGGGCCCAGAATGATGCAAATGAGGGTGGAGGTGCTTCACCTTTCTCACCCACATTTTGATGTTTGTCCGGGGGGATCGAACGGATGACCTTTCGATCACAGGCTCGCCTTCTCTAGCTTCTGCGCCACCACTCCCCTACCATCATATCTTTAGTTTGTAACTAAATGTAACTTCAGCCAAACAGCAATATTTTCTTATTTTTAAAGTTAACGCAAGTAGGAATGCATAATTTTTGATGGCCTCCATCTTGTTTCAGTCACTGTACCTCGATGACAGCCTGTCTCCTGCTGTCCACGTTCAACACCACCCCCGAGTTCTCACCGTCAGCTTGACAAAAGTTTAACCTGATGTTGACGGGCGATAACGTGTCTCTCACACATTTCTGCAAAACAAAAACGGAGCAGTTACCAAAAGCAAAAGTCTTTTGATTTGAGAACGTTTGAGTGTAACTGTAATTTTCATACTGGCATGAAGACGGAATGGTTGAAGCATGTTTTGCTGTCGACTAGCTCGTAGGCGCGAGTAATACTTCTCTTCGTCTTCTCATTCAGAGAGAAGAACCCTCGATTTGTTTGTCTTGTCTGATCCACGTTGAGCGTGTACGAGATGTTCAGTCCTGAGCTCGCTTCCTCTGCAGAGTCAAATGATGGGGCTGAAGTATCAGTGAGGTAGCTCATGTTACATATCATGTTACATATCATGAGGCCCCCACCTGGTTTAGTCTTTGTTGCCTCCACCATTTCAAAGCAGGCTGTTACATTAACCATTGGTAAATCTTTATCACTGACTTGAAAACAGTCGATGTTCTCAATGCTGATCGTTCCAGGATGAAACGACAGGTGGGCCGTGACGTTAAATACGGGCTTAGACCTGAACATAGAATAAAAGCATTTAAAGTTGCATGAGGGAATTATAAGTGCTTTTATACAGTTTATCCATCCATCCATAATCTTCTGCTTATTCTGGTCGGGTCGCGGGGGCAGCAGCTTGATCAGGGAGGCCCAGACATCTCTTTCCACACCCACCTCTTCCAGCTCTTCTGGGAGAATTCCAAGGTGTTCCCAGGCCAACCAAGAGACATAGTCTCTCCAGTGTGTCCTGGGTTTTCCCCGGGGTCTCCTCCCAGTCAGACATGCCCAAAGCACCTCCCTAGGTAGGCGCCTTACCAGATGCCCGAACCACCTCAACTGGCTCCTGTCGACGTGGAGGAGTAGCAGCTCCACTCTGAGTCTCTCCTGGATAACTGAACTTCTCCCCCTATCTCTAAGTGAGAGTCCAGCTACCCTGCGGAGGAAACTCTACTGCCTGTATCCCCGATCTTGTACTTTCGGTCACTATACAGTTAAGTTTCACAGTAAAGCCCCATTGGCACTGCTCCTAATCAGCCCCAGCTCTGCTCAGCCCTGCACACCCCCTTTAGGACCGATTCTGGAGGCGTCCAGAATCTAAGTCCTGCTAATGAGAGTTCTGCGATGAGTTACTCAAAGCAGTCTGCTCCTCAGGTAATGTTTAATTATTATTTTTATATATGAGTGTTTCTGTTCAGTGCCCTGAGACGACTTCTGTTGTGACTTGGCGCTGTATAAATAAACTGAACTGAATTAAATCTGATGAACCAGATTATACAAAAAACATCTATATTTAACTCTAAAAAAGTGAAGTCTGGTCTTCTGGACATTCAAAAAACAAACAACAAAAATGTAGAAACGTTTCTTCTTTCATTTGAAAGACTTCTTCAGTCTGAGGAGCTGTGTTCAGCTCCGTTTTATAAATATGAGACTGAGCTGAACACAGCTCCTCAGACTGAAGAAGACTTTCGAATGAAAGAAGAAACGTTTCTACATTTTTGTTTATTTTTTTGTATTTTGAATGTCCAGAAGACCAGACTTCACTTTTTTAGATTGTTCTACCTGGATTATTGAGCATGCATCAGGATATCTATATTTAAAATTCTATATTTTTCTCCATCATTTGATGTATTTGCACTCATTGTGGTTTTGTTTCTTGTATACAGATAATTTTTTTCTTGTTTACAGATTATTTTTAGCTTTGAATTAAAGTTTAGTTTTGATTTAAAGGCTTGATTTAAAGTGCAATGCTTGTTTTGTGATTTGTACTTCTGTGGGTGAGAATAAAGTTGAACCAAAGGCTGTATCTCTTCTTTAAACATGTTTGAGGGAAATATTCCTGAGAGATCCAATAATTTAGTCTTTTTATGATTTTTCAGCTGGATTAACTTTAATTAACAGATTATTTAACAAAGTCAAAGGGAAAACAGGATTTCATGAGTAAGCCGGCACCGTTTGTTTATTTTTAATCTTCACTGATTTAAAAAAAAAAAAAAACTTATTTTTTATACATAAAATGTTTAAAAAAAACCATTTCCACCCTTCGTCCCGGTCCTCCCGCCTGCCAGGGCTCGGAATCCGGCTTTTGTGAGAATGCGAGGCCGGGGCTCGGGGTCCGGCCTCGCGGGCTTCAACAGGCCTGCAGCTCGTATGATCCTCCGCGGTGACACCGCTCGCTAGAATTTTGTCGTCGGTCACCAAACACAAAAAACGCCTGGACTTCAGAATTAAACACTGCGTTGTTATTATTGTTTTTAAAATCTTAAAAATAGATCCAGCTGCTGCTCCGCGTCCTGAGAAATTGCAAATGGCGGATCGGTGAAAAGTTTCTGAGAGCCAGTGACTCCTCCCCCTGACCAATCAGAGTCTTGCATTCACGTTGCGGTCCGGACTCATCTCGACTGAGCTCGCGCGGTCCCACCAGAGAAGCAGGGACGAACAGAGGTCCTGAATCAGCATCAAATCAGCTAAAAATACTAGCTAAAATATTAGTGCAAAAGGGTTGTTTCCATGGTGGGCTGCCCAGAGTTGGGGCTTATTAGGGGCAGTGCAAATGGGAAGTGAAGTTCTATGAAACCTGCTCATGTTTTCAATCTGGGAAAACATATAACTGTTCTGAAATCACCAAACCTCATCTGTACAGTTTGACAAAAAGTGGAACATGGACTCTTTTCAAATCCTCAGCTTTGTGTTTGTTGGTAAAATTAAACATGTTTAATAGTTTGATATTTTAATAATAAAGCGAACTGAAGTGAGTGAACCGCTGGTGTGAATTTCATACCTTAAGATAACCGCAGAACCTTGTGACCCAACCACAATATCTGGGAGTCCATCATCTCCGAGGTCCATGTCTCCACTGATGGCTTGTCCAAAGAATCTTATCCCAGCTTCAAGTTTTTCACCCGTGATTCTCTGGAACAATAAAATGTTTGAAAACTGAAAACATTTGGATACCAAATGCATTTGTTACAGAGAATTATATATATGTTTTGCATATTTAAACTTTAATCAGGTGCTTTGTGGAGTATGGTCTTCCAATACTTTAAAAAAATCAAGACCACAATCATGTTTAACACAACGGTCCCATCATCTTATATTAAAGTTTTTATTTTAATTTTTTATTGTTAACTTTAAGCCTTTCACTCACAATACGTCAATTTATTTATATAGCACTTAAAAACAATAAAAGCTGACCAAAGTGTTTTACAGTTAAGACGGATAAAAAGAGTAGGAAATGCATCTAGTGCCACTCAAAATCACAAGAAAGTGAACAGTAAAATACAACACACAACAACAACAATAAAAATCAGCTCTAAATTTGTTCTCAGACTCTGCGTGGATCAAATGTCAAGGAATACTTTAAAAGTCTCAACAGTCTGAGCGGTCTTTAAATTATCAGGTCAACTGTTCCACAGTTTTGGAGCAGCAACCGCAGAACCCCGATCACCTCTGGATTTCAGTTTGGATCCGGGGACATCTAGGAACTGGATGGTAGACCGGAGTGCTCTTACTGGAGTGTAGATGTTAATAAGATCACATAAATAAGACGGGGCCAGACCTTTTAAAACTTTAAAAACACGCAATAAAGTCTTAAAATCCATCCGAAAGTGAACAGGAAGCCAGTGGAGAGAAGCCAGGACAGGGGTTATGTGTTTGTTGTATTTTAGTTGCTGTTAAAAGACGAGCTGCTGCGTTCTGGACAGATTGTAAGTGATGTAAAGATGATTTGTCTAAAACCAACATACAATGAATTACAATAGTCCAAACGAGAGGTAATAAAAGTGTGAATCACCTTTTCAAGGTCTCTGAAAGGGAGACAAGACTTTACCTTGGCAATCAGTCTTTATCGGTTTGTCTAATTTTAAAGCACTATCAAAAATAACTCCTGACATTGGAGTGGCTGTATGAGGCCAAGGGGCCAAGCGTGTTAAGGGTGTTACATTTACCAAAGCTGATGACTTCAGTTTTATTTTCATTTAAATTCTGAAAATTTAATTTTAACCAGACTTTAATGTCGTTTAGACAGGTCAAGAGTGGATTCAGTGGATTGATCCTATCTTACTCAATCGGAAGATATAACTGAGTATCATCAGCAAAGCAATGAAAAGGGATGTTGTGTTTTCTAAAAATGGACCCCAAAGGATGTTGAGATTAAAAAGCAGTGGACCTAAAAAAGACCCTTAGGGACCCCACAGATCAGAGGAGCTGAAGATGAAGAACATTCTCCTAAATGAACAGAAAAGCTCCTGTCAGTCAGGTAGGATCTAAACCAGGATAAAACTGTCTTTGATGCCAACCACCTGCTCAAGTCGTGACAAGCTGTTGTGGGCCACAGTATCGAAGGCAGCAGAAAGGTCTAAAAGCACAAAAACAGCAGCGCTTCCTGAATCAACGGTTAAAAGATGGTCATTAAAAACTCTTAAAAGGGCTGTCTCTGACATCCTGACATTAGCCAGGATGCTTGTCCTCGTCTTTGCCTCAAAGACCCAGACATTTTTTTTAAGAGACTAGAACCTGAACTCATCTGTCCACAGAATACATGTTCACTGTATTTTTGTCCATCTAAGACAGACTTATGTCTTCAGAACTCAGCAGGTTGTGGTGAGTACCGACCGTCGTCTGACGTTCTCCTGAGCCTTTATGGTAACATGCCATGAAATGCTGCCTCAAGGCTTAAATGTCATCCAGTGGTGTTTTCTTACCTTGGTTGAAATTTGGTCAAACTTTCTAATTTTTTTCACACTATTATACATCAAAGATGTCAAAAGACCCGCATTTTTAGCAATATAGTGTTAAGGAACATTTGTGGAACAGTTATAGACCACAAACCAGCCTCATTTGGGAAATAAATATATTTTGATTATTCCTCGCTTTTGTCAAAAATGCTACTTCTACATTTTAAGTATAAACTTTTATCTTTCTTTGTTTTTCTCCTGACTTTTGTTGATGTTTTTAAACACCCGTCCTAAGACGTATTATGCTACAGTGCTGTCCGCCAACTTTCTGTAGACGAGTTCATGTCCAACCTCTAAATTGACAACCATTTAATGTATAAATGCCAAACTGCACAGCTGCTGACCTCTTGGATGAAGGATAGTTCTTATTGATTCCAAGGTCATGTGGTCAAAGGGCAAGGTCTCAGGTGATCCCTTTTTAATCTTGTCTATGTTCCAGTTGATATCAGAGTAACAGAAATGTCCAACCCTTTGTTCCCTAGATCATCCTTATCTGTCCATTTATAGGACAGTCCACAGTAAGTTGTCCATAGTGCAACTCCACAAATATTTGTACATAAAATCTCCTCAGACTATGTCTCCACATTGGATCTTATTGTTAAGACCACTTCCATCAAAGAAGCCTTGAAGGGGTTCTGGTTAAGTCCACTCCTCTGACCATTAAACGGTTTGGATTGGCTGGTAGTCATAAATAGGTGAGTTCTTCACCTGATAGCTGCAGTTTCATGTTCTTACATGTTCTTTAATAGAACAGTTTGCTAGAACCACACCCAAGTAATGTACCGTATATACCTAACGGGCACAAACCCAGGATTATTGTGTGAGGGAATTCATGATTTGGATTTTGATTGCCCTGACAATTTACTGACAGGTCTATTACGTACTGCTGGAAGTACTCTTGTTTTGTTTTCTCACTTTGTTTAAATGACATATTTGTTTTTTTTTTTTTTTTTTTTTCAGTTAAAAAACATTTAAAACTCATCAGAAAATGTTTTTTGTTGGTAGAATCTTGGCTCTTTGTGTCACCTGACTGAAAGTACTGCGTATCCCTCTGTGTCTGTCGCCGAGGTAGATGTAAACAGCCCCCCTGTTATCGTCCTCCAGGGGGGCTCCAACAGCAACATCTCTCAGGTCATCTCCATTCAGATCTGAAAGACTGGATATGGTGCTACCAAATCTACCCATAGATGGTGCCGTCACACTGTATTCACTTATTAGTCGGATCTGTAAGGATAACAACCATTTGATAAAAACTGATTCCTTACACACCTTTATAAATAAAATAATCAGATTTCTTGTTTTGTTCTACCTACCTCATCAGAAAGTCTGTAAATGTAGATCCTTCCTTCCTTTTTCTCAGGAGGCTGGTAAAACGTTGGAGCTCCCACAAGCAGGACATCTGTGTTCCCGTCTGAGTCGATGTCCACTGAACACAGCTCCGCACCAAAGTAGGAACCAATCTAAAAGTATAGACTGAACACTTATTGTGCCATCAAGAGACACAGATATTTTATCAAAGGCTTAATTTTACGACAGCCAAGGTGCCAGGGAGTTGTCTGGTTTCCTTAGTCTAACCACTGAACACCCTGCGCCTGTGCACAACTGCTTAATTTTAGACATTTTTCAGCTATAAAAACAGTCAAGTATTTGAGTTACTTTTCAAAGTTCTTTAATTTTTCTAATGAATGCAAACATACTTTAGGCGGCAGGTTAAGTTTTAAACATGGACACATTTTTTTATGAATCTTTATGGGAAATCAAAATGACAAAATAAAGTGCTCAGCATTGATACGAACCTGGTCCGTGTTTATTCTTTGAGCTGGTTTCCAGTTTTTGTCCTTTTTTGTGAAAAGTACGACCTGTCCAGTGTGGTTAAAACGTGGAGCACCAGTGAAATATATTGCAACACCGTTCTTCTCTCCAACAGATAAAGAGTAACCTGCAACCGTTAGTTATTTATGAACTTAAACATGATCTTAAGGCTTTATCACAGACACAACAAAAATTGATTTGATGGAAATAGTTTACTGCTATTTCAAGTTGGCTATAAATAAGGAAATATTAAGGTTACCCATGTAGGAATCCATTTCCATTTCTGGATCTGAGATCTGGTTTTTGTTTTGTACTTGATGCTCATAGAGTGACCCACGCCAGCTGTTGGATCCCACTGAACCCAGAACCAAAGTTTCCTGTCAACACAAATGTCTGGTCAGGACACAGAGTCTGATAAGTCTTCTGTCAGGTCTGACGCTCTGCAAACTACTTCTTCCATGTAGGCAGCAAATACAATTTGTAATGTTGCCCCTAAGCTAAAGCTCAACATTTCACAATAATTTCTGTATTTACAATGGAACGAAATATTTTTGTCATGTACTGTATTGAGCTAAAAGGTTTGCATTTTTTTGTTGAGAAGGCCTATGAACATTGGAAGAAAGGAGAGCTTGAATCGGTTATAGTTGATTCTAAACCACCAATCTGATGATAATAGTTTGTTTCACATGTAAGGAAAGAAAACCATTCATGATCTTTTAAGCTATCATCGGAGAAGCAGAGAGGGCGATATTCTATCTTTCCTATCATGTTCGTGATTGGTTTAACTATTGGTGCTCAGTTCAGTTTTTCAGCTGAACTGTGAGGGAGCCAAACCAAAGAGCCATGCAGTATCTAATGATGCTATGCAATGGTGTTACAAAAGGTTAGCATGGTTGTTCTATTTACACCAAACGCTCTGAGTCCTCGAAGGAAGTGCAATCGTCGATCTCGCTCAAAGGACAGGTACTGTGTGATCAATCTATTGAAGACTGTGATCATCCATCCATTCATCCACCCATTATCTTTACCCGCTTTTTCCTTTTCTGGTCGCGGGGTTCACTGGTGCCCATGTCCAGCTACCACTGTGCGAGAGACAGGGTACACCCTGGACAGGTCGCAAGTCCGTCACAGGGCCACATAGAGACAAACGAGACGAACAACAATTCACGCTCTCACCTAGGGACAATTTAGAGTTACCAATCAGCCTAACATGTATGTTTTTGGTCTGTGAGAGGCAACCGGAGTACCCGGAGAAAACCCACACATGCACAGGGAGAACATGCAAACTCCACCCAGAAAGACCCCCGGACCGGGATTTGAACCGGGGCAACCATAAAACCACCAAAATATCAAGAGCATGGATTCTAATTTATCTTATGTCTAAATTGACCTTTAGTTTTCTTGGTGTTTTTGATCAGGTGAGGTTACTGGCACCATTTTTTAAAGGATTTGTGTATGGAGGTAGCAGAAAGGAATGGGAGATGGACCAATAGATTGGGACCTCATCTGCAGTAATGAGGGCGTTACTTTGGTTGGTTGTGGTAAAGCCAAAGCTGAACCAAAAGAACAAGCTTTCAATATACTGGTCTGCATTCCAACCCTCAAGTATGGTCATGTGGTATGGGTCAAGAAAGAGATCCTAGATACAAATGAGATTTCTTTGTACGGGGGACCTGGCGCAGCCGTAGAGATGGGGTGAGGAGCTCAATCTTCTGAGAGGAGTTTGGAGAAGACTTCTGCTCCTCTGCATCAAAATGAATCGGTTAATCAGATTCATCTGATCGGGATGCATCCTTGTTGCCTTTCTGGGCACGTCCCACTGGGAAGAGACCCTGGGGCAGACACAAAACTCTCTGGAGGGTTTATGTATGCTCTGAGAATCCCTTGAGGTTCTTAGGAGGAGCTGGAGAGTGTTGCTGAGGTGGAGGGATGTTTGAGTTTCTTTCCTGGATTTGTCTCTGCAACTTAACTATAGATAAGTGGTTGAAGATAGAGATGAACAATATCACAATATGTCTGTCACAGTTTCAGTTGCCTTATTTAGCTCTAGCAGTGTCCTCACTCTTCAAAAGTCTTAAATGCATCTATCTAAAATTAAGGCCTTTAAAATGTCTTGAATTCATTAAAGAATGTGTAAGTTGGTCTTAAATACGTAAAATTATCTGTCTCCAAGACAGATTTCTGTGATTTGTTAAAATCAGAGGGAAAAATGTGTTAAAAGCCATCCAATCTAATGATAATCCAGGGATTAAACTGATGCTGTTTTCAACAAATAAGGAGAACCAGAGCCACAGTTTGACCCAATCAGATCAAAGTAGGTTGTGCTGTCTGATACATGGCAGGTGATCGCAGTGTTCCCCACTCAGAGACAGACTGCAGGTGAGAGCACCATTCAGTGTTTCCTGCACTATTTTCCAAGGAGGACGCCACACTACCCTTTTTCATTTAACCTTTATTTATACAGGTTAATCCCATTGAGCCTCATTTACAATTGTAATCAGGTCTCTCTTACCCTAACCCAAATTGATGATATAATATATATTATTAAATGTAATGATAATATATAATGATATAATAAATTATTAAACGTCTATGTATTCGCATGTGACCAATTCACTGCAGCCAGGGGAGGTACCAGAACTGAGATACCATCACTCCCACCCCATCCTGCCACATCGAACCCTGACCTCCTCAGGACTTTAGTGTCTAAAATCTAACATTGGATTAAATGTTAATGTGTTCGGAGCATAGTCAACATCGTACAGACATATGCAACATGTGCATGTGACCGAACTCCGTGTACCAGAGAACGCTGCCGTGGGAGCGCACAGCCAGAGTGTTTCACTGTGAGAGAGGCAGTGTCTACTGCTTTAGTCCTTATAATTAAGTAATATTACTGTTATCAGAATCAGAAGAAGAATCAGTATAAGCTTTATCATTGCACCAAAGTACAGTGAGATTATGTTCGTACAGTCATCCGAAAGATGGGCGGAGTGCACGTTGCTGCTACTCCTAAGAGCGTGGCCCTTTTAATCTTTTGGATAGAAAAGGGGAAAAAGCCATGAGAAAAGGATAATGTATTACAAAAAAAGAACTCTTCACACCTTGTCCTTGTCAGGACACGATTTAAGACATCAAAAAACTACCAGCAAGCACATTTATTGACATATGCATTTGATGACAAGACGGTGAGATTTGTCCATAAAGCACTTCCAGATAGCACCATCGTCCAGTCAAGATGTTTGTGTCAGCTGGTACAGCTCTGATAAGCATTCACAGAAGTGTTTTGGGGGGCGGGGGGGTTGTGATAGACGGAGCCTTTTTAGTTTACACGTATCCCAGGAGAAATTTGATAAGTTGGCCTGCTTCGAAGCCGAATGGGGGAGTCGGATTCAGAAAAGCTACAGTTGTTGATTTTATTTTATTTTTTTCAGGCAGACTGTTATTTCTCGTCAGCCTTGAGCTCTACTGGTACTTTCGATGATCCAAATACGGAACACAAATTTGGTCATTGTTTGGGGACTTACTATGATGACAATACATTGGACTTTCACTTAACAGGTGCATTGAACAACCATACCATACCATACTATTATACTACTATACATAAGTTCTTTAGATCAACAGATCCACATATTTTAAAATATAGTTCAGATCTTTGGAGGCGGGAGTCCGTTGGGGGTAACGGACAATTCATGTTTTTGAAACTGGTCTAGCTTGAACTAGTAAATGGTAACATAGCAAGATGGTCCAAGCAGGCTGGTCTTAAAGTTAAAGTAGATATTCTTTCTTTTGAAGTCTTTAAATGTTTAACAGGTGATGCATGACAGATTTAAAAAATTTACATTTCTCACCTTGTGAAATACTGAACTGAATCCAGTCTGAGACATTTCATTGGTCATTTCTCCAGCACGAGTCACTTTGAACCCTAAAAATAAAACACAAGCAAAATCAGTGTTACTGCTGCATACACACACACAAACAAAAGTGATATAAAAATAGAGGAAAAAACATTACCTTCAATATTAAAGATTTTGTTTTGAAAGTTTTCCAAGAGTCCCGTGAGCCCATTATAGTTCTCAATTAGGAAAAAATTGTTGTCTTTTGGCTCCGATACAATGTGTATGAATTTATTTATTTTAACATTTTTGACCTAAAAACAGAAAACTGAATATTATTCATTAATTCAGCCTTAAACAGATAAATCTCATTGAGTCTTGAGCCTCAAAGACTCATTTACAAGTGAGACATACCTGTTTGGACAGAAAATAAAGTGATGAAAGTGACAACATAGGTTTTGGAGGCAAAAAATTTCCTAACATGCTCGTAATCTTTGGCTGAAAATTAATAGCCTGAAAATGAAAAAAAACCTCACACGCAAGTGCATAATGACGCAGACATTCCGCAGGGGTGGGGGGGACGCAAGGGTGGTGAGTATGTCCAGAGACAACACACAGAGGCACTGCAAGAGTTCCGATAAGAGTGGTAAATTGCTCAGTTCACATAGTTCCCTCTGGAGAGATCCGTACACTCTCAGGGCATGCTGAGGATGGCCAAGGATGACATCAGATAGAATCCAAAGAGTCCTGAAATAATGACAGAATGTTTATTCAGCCAGGCCCCTCTGATTGCTCCGTAGACTTCCTCGGTGGGAGTGGGGGAAGGGGCGGAGCATCAAGGTTTACAGAGCTTCCAGGCAAATTAAGATAAGTTGGCCTGTCAAGGCCAGTCAGGGAGCCAAATTCAGATAAACATGATTGTTTTGGGGACAGGCAGAACTTTTCTGATTATTGAGTCTGTGTCGGTCCTCTTGGTTCCGAAATGTCCAACTTAAATGGCCATACCACTGGACCGTGCCTGAGAGTATTCCCTGAGATCTGATCCATCCTGCCAAAAGCAATTGAGTCTGGGTGCTTGAGGCACGAACCAAGCCATCACATAAGGCAGGCAGCCTGACCAGGGCCAAATTTGCTGCAGACGACGTCCTTGTTTGTTGATAGATCAGGAACCAGCCGAATCCAAAAAGCAGGAAACCAGTTATCATAAATCCAATTATATATGCATCCTTAACATCCTCGATTGACAGCATAGATAGACACATCACCAAGTTTTCCAAGTCAATGAGATATCCAGCTGCGTGCATGCCAACAGGACAAATCACCTTGCCTAAGCCTGTCTTCTCTTCAAAGAAATGTTATCCCCAGTTGTATACCCCAGTTTTACAACAACTTCACTAGCTTCGTTCTTCCTCTTCCATCCACCTCAACGTGCCTCTTGTTCGCCTCAGCACCATGGGACACAGAGCCTTTTCTCACTCTGCTCCCCAACTTTGGAACACTCTTCCCCCAGACATCCGTAATATTAACTCCCTTCAGACCTTCAAATCACAACTCAAAACTCATCTGTTCAAGTTAGTCTTCTCACTTTAATTTTTTTTAATTTTCTTCTTGGTTTCATGTTTTTAAAGCCATTTTGTATTGTTTTATTTTTCGTTTTATTTTGTAGTTTTAATGCATTATTATTATTATCAACTGCGTTGAGGGACCAACTGACAAAATCCATATCAGAATTACGATTTGGAAGATTTGTAAAAGATAGGCTCTAAAGCAGTTTCACAGAAAGGGCAGAGCAAAGCGGAGAGAGAGAGGAGGGGAAAGGCATCCGCCCTTGACAAGAGCAAGTGTTGAAGTGTATTAATGGCAAAGTCCCATTTCATTCATATTTTTAATAGGTTGACAGGGTGCATTTTTTGTTGAATTATTTCTACAAACTTAAAAAGACTGAGGGCTGGTGAGGCCATGCTAATGTTTTGGGACAGGCATTTTGGGTTTTCATGAGCTGTATGCCATAATCATCAATATTAAAACGATTAAAGACCTGAAATATTTCAGTTGGTGTGCAATGAATCTGAAATATATGAAAGTTTCATTTTTATCATTACATCATGGAAAATAATGACCTTTATCACAATATGCTAATTTTTTGAGAAGGACCTGTATAGCAATATCTGCCAAAGAAGCTACGATCTACTAGCCAAAGCAATAATTAACAGCCATTACATCAGCTTTATAGGCTACTTTTTAACAGTTACATTATTAGCTTCAGTCCTGGTCGAATCACATTCACACTAAGATCAAATCTGCTGACTAGTGAAAGGAAACACTTTTTCCCTTTTCTTTTCTGTTGCTACATCCATAGTACACACAGCTTTCTGGCATTTTTATATTCATTCAAATATTATTTTTATATTACATATATTTTATTAATATTTGTAAAAAATAAAATAAAATACACAGCCATTCCTTACTTGGGGCTATTTATTCAGTATCTACCAAAACACCAAGTGCAGACATTTGCCTGTTTTGGTTATGGCTGCCATTGCTGCAGTACATCGCAGGGTCATGTGACCAGGGCGTACTAGTTATTTTATAAAACTCAATGGACGAGTCCTAATTGGTCAGCTTCGCTGGCCTCGTCAGGCCATCATCTATCATTCTGCAGAAGTTCTACATTCTGAATTCAACAAACGTTTTATTGTACCGTAAGTTAGCACACCACCCTGTCCAGCCTGGGTTTCTCTTCAAGTCCCAGCAAAATTTTAAGACATTCAGTCCCAGAAATTCAGCAGCTCGAGGACTTTCTGAGCCAAATTCAAATATTATTTCACCTAGAGCATGCATCCAAGTCTCGACATTTCTTGCTCAGTGTACACCACCCCAGTGAGCGTTGCCTATAACTCAAAAGCAAGTTGAGCAGTGTTTTGTTTTTTCTACAGTTCACTTTTGTGTTGTTGTAATTTTTTGTTTTAAATTTAACGACGGGGGAATCGCTGGACAGACAAAAGAAAACCCAGATATAAGTGATAAATACAGCATGTCAGTGCTTACCCCAATGACAACTCTAATTATTCCTCTTTTTTCACATTGGTCAACAGTTTTGTTTTTGTCTATATCACTTGGGTCTCCATCTGTGATTATCACCAGAACTTTAGTTGCATCAGGAGAGGCGCCTGCAGCCTCATTATCAAAGATGTCTGACCTGAAACAAAAAATAGACAAAACCTTAGCGATAATATAAAATAAAAGTCTAGCTTTCCTTAAACAAATGCATATCGCCTTCTACATTTCAAGCCAGTGTCTTAAACTAAAACCATCTCATGTTGAGAAAATATGAAGTTGTGGCCAATTTGCTAATATCTCAAATAACGATTTGTTTGACTGCACATGATGCAGTAAGATCTTGAGTTGTCTGTTAGCTCTCAGAGTATGTGCAGGGGATGACTGTTGGCTACTACCACACCAGTTTTAGCTTAATATTTGTAAAATTGGCTGAGTTATAGCCATTTTGTGTTGGCTAAGATCAATTAGATGTGGGTGCCATCTTGAATCATGTAGCCTCTAAGAGTTAATCCATTGTCTAATCATTATACAAGTTTCATTAGAATTCATTCAGTCATTAATAAGATATTAGCTAACAGTACAGATAAATGAACACACGGATTTGGTGGTCAGTGAAAATTAAACTTCGTCTTTGAACATTGTTGCATAAAATTACACTTTATTAGCTCCATTGGGCCAAGTGTGTGTAATGCTGCTGAACTTACAACACAAATGTGAGGGCTTTGTGTGTGTTGGTGAGACTCTGCATGTGCTGTTCACCGTTGAGTTTCTCAAGAGCACGACCAGCATCGTAGTCATTAAAATCAAAAACTTTTTTGGTTTCAGAGGAAAACTGAGCTGCTGCAAACTAAAGAAATGCATCATTTTAATGTCATCATGTACTTTTATATACTGGTAGGTTTATAATGTGAAGTCTTGGACTGGATTGAGGCTGAAATGGTGCAGTGACCTTGATTGATGTGTTTTTAAGGCTGTTCATTATATCCACAATGAAATATTTGTTTTTAATAAATTCATCATCGGTCATGCTTCCTGATCCGTCAAATAAAAAGACCAGGTTTACAGTCTTTTGGGTGCATTCTGGAAAAAAAAAAAAAACAGTGTGGACATTGGTAAATACATATTTGAACTTAAACATTTTGGACACCAGGTTACTTTGAAGACCTGGTTTACCTTGGAACACAGGTTTGAAAGAGGAGATGTCCTTAAGTTCATCAGTGATGTTGTAACACAAACTGTTCAGGTAGGAGTTCCCATGACATTCATGAATAAGATTTGGACTGCAAATCTAAACCCGACCAAAAGAGATGACATAAATCTGATTACAGCTTTTGTTTTATTTTAGTTAAAAAATAAAAGAAGTCACAAAGTGTTTCTTACTGTGAACCCGGAGCCTGTAGGGTCTGCAGCCATTGACAAGCCGAAGTGTTTCACTGAAGATGAATTTGACTGGGAAGGAGCTGCAATGGTAATAACTGAATGTTTTAAAATGTTAGAGGTACATCTTTAACTGTTTCAATTGTTCAAGTAGAAAATTAATAAACACACGGTCTAACTTTTTTATTACAGACCGTAAGAACGCAAGATATTTTTCTATTTTCTCATCATTCGTATTTATCAGTATATGTACATTAATTTCTTCACGTTTGTCCTGCAACACATTTTCAACAAATTGTAGATGGTAAAGTTTTTTCCAACTTTAATTTTATGCAGACAACACCATTATTTATTGCTGCTTATCTTCACTTATTCAGGCTTTAGGGTTTTTACAGTATGGGATCAGCAGTTCTGTTGAGTGTACTGAATCCCTAGAATCAATTCATTAAAAATATTTGTTTACTGAATCCTTTACTTCATGCAGTTTATTCGTGTAGTACGGTAGTCCCTCGCTACTTTGCAGTTCGTTTTTCGCAGATATCGTGGTTTTTCAAAGTAAGATTGAACATGGCACACAATTGGCTGATTGATGGATGAGCCAAGGATTGTTTATTTAAAATTAATTATTTTAAATGATTTTGCACCTATGTGCAACCCACATGCAGGGGGAATCTCCCTCCTGCAGCTGATCAGCTGATCTCCTTCTCTGCCACAAAGGCTTTGTGAAGGGTTAACCCTTTGCTGTCCTGATGCACAGATCGACTTTTGTCTTCCAATTTAAAATTCAAAATATGTCACATCGTAAAATCATCATAATCACAAAATATAAAAGTGTTAAAAGTTATTTTTAATTATTTTAAACTTCCATGTTCAGTTGCTACAGTGTAATTGATCAATAAGTACATTTCTGCTCGGCGCTGCAGAGCTGCGTGAACGGTTAACCCTGTGATGTCCTGCTGCGCTTCTCTACAAAGTAAATTTAAATACTGTAATATTTTAAATAAACTATCCCTGCTGCATGGATTGTTTATTTAAAATATTAAGTATGTCCATGGACCAAGAACAAAGTCAGGTGATCACAGACAGAGCATCAGAGAAATGAATCATTCCTGCAGGAACAGAGGAAGCTGAAACACCACAAGCTTCAGGGTCAGCTGATCACCTTGTTACAAGTTCTGGAAGTTATAGCTCATTTAAAGGCAACATATATTTTGTATGTTACATTTATGCTCAACAGATCTTAAGCTTTCATTTTATTCAGTTATTTTAGGAAACTTCACCTACACTTTAGTTTTTGTGTGCAGACTTTTTCAATCTAAATAATAGAAGGATCATTTTAATTTTTTATTTTTATAGATGGAGACTGAATACTTTACTAAATAAAGTAATTTCAGTAAAATAACCCCTTGTTTTTTTAAATTTTCTGTAATACTGCAAAGCAACATGTTAAGCTAATTTTGTAAAATAAATAACTATGATTTCTGTTTTTGTTTTTATATCGCAAAATTTATTGTTATCGTCAGAATACTCTGAAATATCACGATATTATATTTGAGCCATATCGCCCACGACTATATATATATATATATATATATATATATATATATATATGTATATATATATATATGTATATATATATATTATATAAGTGTGGCTCGACTTAACATTAGTCGTTAGCTTGGAGAAGCTATGCCATTGTCGTTGACATGAGAGAATGTCCCAGTGAGGAGGAAAGTGTTAGAATCACTCAGGACAGAATCGAAGAGTGTTTTGTTCACTGAGTGATACATGTAGTTTATTTACAGTGACTGAATCACGTCACATTCACTCAGGCGTCGACAACAGTCCCTCCCCACCTGCACAGCACACGCTGCTTTGTCGTTCAGATTCGCGGCACGAGCGAGCCACAGAACGCAGCCGTTCCACTCGCGACCGGCACGATCGAGCTGAGCTCAACTGAACTAAGAAAGGAACGAATCAGTTAATAAAGTGACTCAGTTCAGTTCATCCTGATGCATGCTCAGTTCAGTTCGTTCACCCAAAAGATTTGTTCATTTGAACGAATCGTTCATGAACGACACACGACTTTACAGAATGGTTTTTATATTGTTCAGTCTCCCACCAGTTTTAAAAGCAAACAAATCCAAGCTCATGGTATTTTAAAATGGAAGTAACCTACCGGGGACTATCCCGTCAGTTTAACTCCACAAGGAAAACATAAAGAGCTTGCTTCAAATTATAAATAGTTGGGTTTTCTTCTTGATTGTCACGTCATTCAAAGGTCACATTAATCGCATAGCCAAAGAAGCTTAATTTTTATTGTAGAAATAAATCCTGTTTCTCATTCAAAGGTAGGAAGCGCTTAGTATCAGCTTCCTTTATGCCTTTAATTGATTACGGTGATGCACGGTACATTAGTGTCCCACCCAAATGTCTCCAATCCTACCACAAAGCCCTGAGGTTTGCCAATGGTTTCAGTCACTGTGAGCTGTACACTAAACCTGGCCGCTCTTCTGAGTCTATGCGGGTATACACGCTGAATGACTCTAATCTCTAATCTATAAGGCCCACTGGGCTATTATGTTTTATTTGTGCACTTTTCTACAAAGAACTTAAGCTGGATTTATAGTCCACGAGAAGTTAAGAAATCTTCTCTCTCTGATGTAGCAGAGACATTTTTTCTCCACAACTACAGTTTATACGCCAAGAGAAACTCTGTGGCTGATTTCCAGGAAGTCATTCCCCCCCTCAGCACACTATAGTGGGACACAAATAGAAATACAGCAACTGCACAGCTTGGAAAACGGTTTGGTTTGTGTTGTTGAAGCACGATAGCCTCATTCAGAAGACAGCTCAGTGAAATGACCCATTCATAAATCACAGATGAAGCTGCCACGTCCCGCTCAGATGTTGAGCTTCGAGCGGAATCGAGGGACTGAGCAGAGCTCTGCTGGGCCGAAGTGCGATGCATTAAATGTGTGACAACTCCCTTGTTTCACGTTAGAGATCTTGTTCATGTGGGTTTTTTTTTTTAACTACGGTAGCTACAAAGTCGGCATCAATATTTGCTCAGTAATCAATTTGTTTGTTGTTTAATCCCACGTGCAGTCAGTCCCAACTAAAGTCATCAGTTCATTACATTACTGAGCCGCAGTTTTGTAAGTTTTGTTTTTCTTCTTCAAACGTCAGTCCCTGTGATTACCTCGTACTTCTTGTACTTCTTGTGGAGTATACAGTAAATCCAGCCTAACAGTTACCGTACCTTATTTTAACTATGCAAAACAACTCATTCTGAACGCGTTGCAGCCAAAAATTCAGACGTGGTTGTGTATATGAACAAATAATAAAGACTAACTAAACAAAGCAACACATATTTTTTGATTAATTTTGTCTAGAATGAAATCAGTCATAACATAATATAGAGTTTATATATTGGGATTATTTTATTGTACTAACTGTTTCAAATATTTTAGATTGCTTTTCTAATATTCTTTACCATTGGAAGCCGCTCATTTGTTAATTTATTGAGATAATGAAACGTGAACGTACCATAAGGGCTGAACCAGTTTTCATTTTTCTCCTGGTCTCGGCTGAACACTTCTCCTGATCCGTTTAGGTGCAGAGGTGCCGAGACGAGTATCCTGTGGACCACATTAAGACACAGTTCAGTCAAACACGACGCAAAGATCGGTTCTGAGCAGGATGCGAGCCACATAATAAAGATTAAACGTGTTAAACCACAAACCTTTCCTGCTCGTGCCTGAAGCGTCATGAGAAATATATTTTTTCTGTTTTATCAGAACAGTATTTCTAGATTTCAGCAGAAGTACATCTTTTACAGTGCCTTGTGAAAGTATTCGGCCCCCTTGAACATTTCAGGCTTCAAACATAAAGATATAAAAATTTTAATTTTTTGTGAAGAATCAACAACAAGTGGGACACAGTCGTGAAGTGGAATGAAATTTATTGGATGTGTCAAACTTTTTTAACAAATAAACTGAAAAGTGGGGCGTGCAATATTATTGGGCCCCCTTACTTTCAGAGCAGCAAACTCAGTCCAGAAGTTCAGTGAGGATCTATGAATGATCCAATGTTGTCCCAAATGACTGATGATGATCAATAGAATCCACCTGTGTGTAATCAAGTCTCCGTATAAATGCACCTGCTCTGTGATAGTCTCAGGGTTCTGTTCAAAGTGCAGAGAGCATCATGAAGACCAAGGAACACATCAGGCAGGTCCGAGGTACTGTTGTGGAGAAGTTTAAAGCCGGATTTGAATACAAAAAGATTTCCCAAGCTTTAAACATCCCATGGAGCACTGTGCAAGCAATCATATTGAAATGGAAGGAGTATCAGACCACTGCAAATCTACCAAGACCCGGCCGTCCCTCTAAACTTTCATCTGGAACAAGGAGAAGACTGATCAGAGATGCAGCCAAGAGGCCCATGATCACTCTGGATGAACTGCAGAGATCTACAGCTGAGGTGGGAGAGTCTGTCCATAGGACAACAATCAGTCGTACACTGCACAAATCTGGCCTTTATGGAAGAGTGGCAAAAAGAAAGACATTTCTCAAAGATATCCATAAAAAGTGTTGTTTAAAGTTCGTCACAAGCACCTGAGAGACACCAAACATGTGGAAGAAGGTGCTCTGGTCACATGAAACCAAAATCCAACTGTTTGGCCACAATGCAAAACGATATGTTTGGCGTAAAAGCAACACAGCTCATCACCCTGAACACACCATCCCCACTGTCAAACATGGTGGTGGCAGCATCATGGTTTGGGCCTGCTTTTCATCAGCAGGGACAGGGAAGATGGTCAGAATTGATGGGAAGATGGATGGGGCCAAATACAGAACCATTCTGGAAGAAAACCTGTTTGAGTCTGCAAGAGACCTGAGACTGGGACGGAGATTTATCTTCCAACAAGACAATGATCCAAAACATAAAGACACATCTACAATGGAATGGTTCACAAATAAACATATCCAGGTGTTGGAATGGACAAGTCAAAGTCCAGACCTGAATCCAATCGAGAATCTGTGGAAAGAGCTGAAGACTGCTGTTCACAAACGCTCTCCATCCAACCTCACTGAGCTCCAGCTGTTTTGCAGGAAGAATGGGCAGAACTTCAGTGTCTCCATGTTCAAAACTGATAGAGACAAACCCCAAGAGACTTGCAGCTGGAACTGCAGCAAGAGGCGGAGCTACAAAGTATTAACGCAAGGGGGCCCAATAATATCGCACGCCCCACTTTTCAGTTTTTATTTGTTAAAAAAGTTTGACACATCCAATAAATTTCATTCCACTTCATGATTGTGTCCCACTTCTTGTTGGTTCTTCACAAAAAAATTAAAATTTTATATCTTTATGTTTGAAGCCTGAAATGTGGCAAAAGGTTGAAAAGTTCAAGGGGGCCGAATACTTTCGCCAGGCACCGTATAACTCACCCTTTGTTCTCAGCAGACATGAACTGAAGCACTTTGTATCCAAAGAAATCTTTCTTTTCCCCAGAAATAACGTCAGAATTTGTCACGTCAATATTGAAGGCTGAAGACACGGAGATGGCTGCAGCTGAAAACAACAAATGACAAGTCGTACACAATTTATTTAGTAGAATCCAAATTATTAAGACGATGAAGTTCCACACATTTCAGGGTTGCACAAAATGTAACATTGCAATATCAGTGCGTCGTATCGAAAGAGAATAAACCAGCAAGCCGAGGCGTCCGTGTCTCTCATTTATTAGACTCGACTGTTTTTCACGAGACATGACCTCGACCCAAAGGGGGAAAAAAGGCAATAGCTTTGTAGACACACAAAAACCGCAATAAATTAAACATTAAGCTGCATCTATCTTCTTTTTTTTTTTTTTTCACAGAAAATGTTGAGCAATTTGTAAAAGTTTGTGTGGTTTAGGAAATTAATCTTCGCCCCACTTATCTCAGGAGCTGTCACTTCCTCTATGAAGTTCATTTTAAACTAACCACAGCAGAGCTCAACTTTCCCTGTGACTAAAGTGAATAACAGTTCATTTCATAAGAAAAGATAAGGCTGACGTTTTATTTATTTATTGTTTTTACTTTTTAACCACCAAATGTTGAAGGATGTAGTTAAAGGGTTCAAGAGGAGTATCATTCGGCTAAAGTCCAGTAGGTTTGCAGAACTGTGTACCCAGTTGTCACTGGGGGAGAGGATCTGTCTTTAAAGCTTCCTGTGAGAAGTTTCTCACAGTTCAGCTCTGATGTGCAACAACCCCGGGGTGTCTCTTGTGTTAGCGCGGGCGTGTGGTTCGTCTGAGGGCAGTTCAACGGAAATTCATAAATCAGCCCAAACACGTACAAATTTAACAATTCTGACATTTTTATTAATCTTTTACCATCACAAACAAGAAATAAAAAAACACCTTTATTTCCATATGTACTGACTTTTTCATTTTTATTTATTTCAGCTGGTATTCAGTTTATTTGAACTTTTTTATTTATTTATTCTGACAATATTAAAACGATTAGAGTAAAAAAAAAAAGTGAAAACTTTCTGAAGGTGTTCAGTTTTTAAGTATTTTATATGATTAATTAGCTTTTGGTGGGGAGTGGTAGCGCAGAGGTTAGAGAAGGTGGGCCTGTGAGCAGAAGGTCGATGGTTCAACTCCTCGAACCGACAGCATCAAAATGTGGGCGGGAAAGGTAAAACGCCAAACACCTCCACTTGGCCCTTAACCCCCACCAGCTGCTCCACACAGAGGGCTGTGGTAGCTCGGTGGTGGTTGCGTCAGGAAGGACATCCGGCGTAAAAACAAAAGCCGCAGTGAGCCAACTTCATGCGCGTTCGCTCACTGTGGCGACCCCTGAAGAAGGGAGCAGCCAAAAGAATAAAAAAAAAGATGCTTCAGTTTTAATATTTAGGCTTGGTGGATCATTTGACCCTAGGGCAGCTGGAGGCTGAACAGTTTGTGCCAAATACACCACAAAAACACCAAAGAAAACATGGTACCTGTGAGCTGGGCGTTATTTAACAGCGTTTAATTGTTCATTTCTTAATACACAAATATTTTTTTTTATTTTGTCCTGTTTATTTTTCTTTACAGTAGTAAAACTTGAAAATCCTGCAGTCCCATACGACCCGGTCACAGCTGGGTCCGTCTGTTCATGCTGCAGGAAATTAATCGTTCTGTGACATCATTTAAGTTTTAGTTCATCAACCGAGGACAAACTCAGAGGCTTTGCTCATGTAAAAGTACTAATACAACATTATACAAGTACTGCTGAGACTTCAGTAACAAAATAAAGTTTATTTTAACTGAAATAAAATCCATTTTCTGGTCCATTTTTGGATTATAAATTGCAAAGCACTTGGTCAGTAAAAAAAATAGTTCTTCATAAATTTTGCATGCAAACTTTGTAGCTATTATTAGATAAACGTTGTAAAGTGAAAGCATAAATATATTATTTTGAAATTGAGAGAAAAGTTAATTAACTTGTTATAACGAGGTTTTATCCACCATTGACCAAAAGTCAACACCTAAAGCTGTTTTGAAAATGTTTTAATTTAATTTTTTATGCTGTTGTGCACAGTGTGGGAGTAAAACCTCAGAGCAAACTATTTTTTATAGTTTTAAATTTTATTCCCTCAACCACTGGTCTACATATAAAAACTGCAACGCTATTTATCAGTAAAATATTTAACGAAAGGTTTTAATCACAGATGAGGCCTAAACCAGGATAGATTTTCAGTAATTGTTAAGGCTGACACAATAAGGTAAAAAAAGATGATTTAGAACAGTTTAAACGTTTTATAAAACACAGAATGGAACAAACTACGCCCATGGTAGCATCCGTTTGTGGTGAAGGATTTCCTGATTCTTACACCGAGTTTCTCCTTACATTTAATAGGAAAAAAAATCTTTAGAAAAGTTTATAAATGTGTTCGTTTTCTGTAAAAACGATTGATAAAATTAACATTTATGAATTAAATCGGGTGAAATCCACAAAGTATCAGATTTTAAACGACAGACTTGTTCAACTTTTTATACCCAACCATAAATCACGCCTGAGTGTGAAGAGGTGAAAACTAATTTAAATGGTTGAAATGGTTTTAAATCTTACCAGCAGCCAGCACGCAGACGAGCATGTGAAAGTGGCGCGGCTCGTTCATCCTGCACATGAAGCCAGACTGCAGCAGCAGCAGCTTCTTCATTTGTCTCTTTGTGTAACGCTTCCTGTGGATTTTAAAAAAACAACAAAAAACTGGGTGTTTCCGTAACAGGTGGTTGTGACACTTCTGTTCTCAGACTTCTCTGTAGAAAACCGCTCATGTTCCTGAACGCTTCCATTTTTCAGTTCCCAGATTCTTCAGTTTGTCGCTTTTTAAGCTGAACGTACCACAAAACAATTTAATTAAATTTGATCAAAGATTTTTTTTTCTGCTTTAGCTTCCTATGCAAGATGAACTAAACAGAATTTAATTACATTTTATTATAACTGGATTGCACTGAGGTACATAGAATGAGAATGTTTTTCAGGGGGTATGGTGCAGTTTGGGCTGTTGCCACACATCGAGAAGGTCATAGGTTCAACTCCCAAACTTTCTGTGTCCTCTGTGCTGCACGGGTTTCCTCCCACAGATCAAAAACAACCATGAGGCTAACTGGTAACGGTAAATCGTCTCTGAGCGTGAATGGTTATTTGTCTCTGTGTCCCTGTGATGGACTGAGACCTGTCCAAGTTGTCCCTTAGCTTCTCATCCAGCGTCTAATGGACATAGACGCACGCTCCCCACGACCCAGAAAGGAAAAGCAGTTAAAGAAAATGAATGTATGAACTGACTTGGATTAAATCTGATTATGGAGTTAAACCGAACGATGTTAATTCAAGCAGTTATTTATTCCCATCCTGAGAGGAGTTTTTCAACCGACACCACAAAAAATAACCTGAATGTTTAAGAAGGACTTTAAAGAACTACAAGCACAGAGTCTGGGATCTGCACATTTTGGCAGTGGTGGAGAAAGTACTCAAACACTATACGCAAGTAAAAGTACCACATTAACGTTTTTACTTAAGTAAAAGTTGCTTTTAAAAATAGTGAAAGTACTTGCTGAATGTATTACCTAATGTAATGGTCTACATATCATTAAGTGTTCCTACCGTATGTTTATTTTCTGTAATACATTAATAGTGTTGTATCATTTTAATGAACGATGCTGCAGATAATACATGTTTTTATCGTGTTTACTCTGTGACACCCTTCACACTTGGACTTGTGATTCTGTGCGTCAGAATTTCAGGGATGACCTGCAGAGTTAAATGACATTAAGCAAAATAAGAAAGAGGAATGATTTTACCTTTTAAAAGATTTTATTTAACACAAATCAAAACCAATGTGTCGTTTTAAACTGCAGTAAAAACATTTAAGTAAAAGTTGTCTGTCGAAATAAAGGAGCATTAGACACAACTAACAGGAATATCTGATCAGTTCAACTCCAGTTAAAAAACTGTCCAGTCAACCTTGTAATGGGTCAATAGTGAACAATATTTTAACTTCCTGACACCATTTTCAAAACGTGGACCCGAGTGTCGAGACATTTGGAGACATCTCTTGTCTCCTAATGTCCCATGAACTGACACATTTTAATATCGCAGCAAGAATTTCTTGTTCAAGTTCAGAAAAAGTTGGTTTTCAAGGTTTTTTGAGTCCAGTCTGTCTTATTTGGGAGAGAGAATCTGTTCTTCTGTACTGAACAGTCTTTCAATAATTTTTCAATAGTCTTTCAATAATCTTTCAACAAGGCCATGGGTGGAGCATATCTTCTGTCTGACTCCGCGGTGGAATACATTTTGGGTGTTAGCGGTGCTGCAGGTGCACTCAGCCCAGTGATGTATATACTACAAAGTAGAATATACATCATTGGTCCAGCTCTTCTTGAAGGCGGGTCTAACGTTACCTGCCCACTTTGCAGTGATTCAATGGACCGACTCCCCTCTTGTCATCGGTTACTTTCAAAGTAACAAACAAATTTAAAAAACGCAACGTGAATGTAACGTAATGCAACGCATTATAGAAATGTAGTGTAGTAGAAAGTACTTAATGTAAAATGTAGTGGAGTAAAAGTGGAAAGTACCCATGTTTAACTACTTAAGTAAAGTACAAATACATGAAAAATGTTCTTATGTACAGTAAGTACTTGTGCTTCATTACATCCCACCACTGTATTTTGGTTACATGTTGGTGGCTTGTTTTGAGTTTGTTAAATTTATTTTGGTCTTTTTTTGATCTTTATGTGTTTTTGGATCTTTGTGTTTGAGTTTTGTTGTTTTACCTGTCATCACTTCCCTGCTCCGGCCCCGCCCACTCTCACCTGGTTCTTGTTGTCTCCCCAGGCGTTAGTCATTCTCCCTCATTCGTTCCTTCACATTCTCTCTTTGTTTCCTCGGTGAAAATAAGAAATTAAATACTGGACTGAAAAAAACATTTTATTGTGATGTGTTGTGGTTCCAACACCCGAACCTCGATAGTTTTTATAATAATGTGGTTTCAGCCACAGCGTGTTGCTCACCATTTGAAGAACCAGGAGGTTCTGGTACATTTCATCCTGCGGGGCGGATGTTAAAAATAAACATTTGTAAGAAACGTAAATTTGTGTGTGCTGTTCTGGAAAAAAGATTAAATAAGAAATCTAACAAAACAATCATTCTGTTACAGTAAACTTACCAATTTATTTATTTATTGCGTAATAGTACGGTTACTACAAATGTTACGAAACTTTTAAAAACAGACCTACTTCCCCTCTGGTTTATACTAATAACTGTGCACGTAAGAAACGAGGCATTTTGCTGTTTCAAGTTCACCAAACCACAAGATCTTATAGGTCGTTTGTTTAAATGTGTCTTCAAGTGTTAATTGATTGAAACGGACTGAAGAAAAGTGAAAATCTTTACTCAGGTCAGAGAATGTCAACTTTTCATTTATTTTTGGAAATCATTGGTGTTCTTAGATTTCAAGTCTGCATCGCTGAAGGTGTGGGGGTGGACACGTCCACATGGACACGCTCCATCAGTGCTCAGATGTTTTAAATCGTCCATAGGGTGTCGTAAGTTTGTTAGTTTGTCTTTTGTTAATGAAAAGCCACACTTTTTACAACAAAACAATGCTGAACTGCACTTTATACAGCTGGGCTCCACAGCTGCAGAACTGATCTGTCTGGAACCAACTTCTTCTTTCAGCTGTTCCCTCTTCAGTCGTCTCCACAGAGAGTCCTCCTCTGTCTCACTCTGTCCTCTGCGTCCTCTGTCCTCACTCCAGCTACCTCCATGTCCTCTAACTGCATCCATATTTCTTCCTCTTTGTCTTTTTCCTATCCGCTGCATTTCTAACATTCTTCTACCAATATACCCACTGTCCCTCCTCTGGACATGTCCAAACCACTGTCCCTCCTCTGGACATGTCCAAACCACTGTCCCTCCTCTGGACATGTCCAAACCATCTCAGTCTGGCCTCTCTAACTTTATCTCCCAGTTGTTCAACCTGGGCTGTACCTCTGACGATCTCATTCCTAATCTTATCCGTCCTTGTCACTCCTAAGGAGAACCTCAACATCTTCATTTCTGCCACTTCCAGTTCTGTCTCCTGTCTTCTTGTCCATGTCTCTGTCTCCAGACCATACAACATAGCTGGTCTCACCACTGTCTTGTAAACTTGCCTTTGACTTTTGCTGACACCCTTTTGTCACAAATCACTCCTGAAACATTTCTCCATCCACTCCATCCTGCCTGGACTCTCTTCTTCACCTCTTTACCACACTCTCCATTTTCCTGGACAGTGGACCCCAAGTCCTTGAAGTCCTGCACCTTTGTGACCTCTGCTCCTTGTAGTCTCACTGTTCCACCAGCCTCCCTCTCATTCACACACATGGACTCTGTCTTACTACATTTGACTTTCATTCCTCTTCTTTCAAGTGCATACCTCCACCTCTCCAAGTTCTCTTCCACCTGTTCCCTGTTCTCACCACTAATCAATATGTTTTTAGGTTTTAAATGTGTACAAAAATATATGAACTAACCTACAAAATGATGGAACAAAGAGTGGGAATATAATGCATGTTTTCCAGTGGCTCCGTGCCATTCTTTGAGAACTACCACTGGTAGTTTGTAGTTTGTTCTTTAGTTCTTCATGCCCATTGTTAAAGCTTGTCTGTTTGGTCCACATGCAGTACAACAAGTGCCGGTTTCTGTTTTCTTTTATCTGTAAATTACAGAAGAACCAGATTTAAATGATCTCCTAATCAATAATAAACCAACAGAAATCATTTCAAACTATATTTTATTTATTCGCCAACCATCACTGCTGTTCGGCCACTTTGCTGGTGGGTTTGTTTGTTCTGGGTTTCTGAACTTTAAGAGAAAAATCAGCGACTGGACATCCTTGTGTTATGCAGCCTAGAGAAACGACGTCTACATGTGGAGAGAAGTACGAAGTTAGGTTCTCTGGAGTGACTCCTCCGCTGGCTTCGATCTGAAGAGTCGGGAACTCTTCCTTCAGCGTTTGAGCTGCAACTTGGAGTTCCTGCAGGCGGGAAACGGGATGAAAGGCGTTTTATTTCCAGTCGAAGAGCGCACGAGTTTTTGTTTTCAACGTTATTCTACCGGAGGCTGAAGGTTGTCCAGCATGACGATGTCCGCACCGGCTGCAGCGGCTTCTCTGGCCTCCTCCGTGGAGCGACACTCGACCTCCAGCTTACTGCTGAACCCACACACCGACCGCGCCGCTCGCACAGCCTGACAAACAAACAAACCGTTGTTGTTTGTGTTTACCTAAACTGCAGCCGTTTAACGCGCGGATGTTTTAACTTCACGGTGTCTTCATCTGACAGTTTACAGAAACAAACAGGAAAGTAGAGGATCACTCCATGTGACGTCGTGACCTTTCACTGAGTCTACGTGTAGCAAAAATAGAGAAGTTGTCTAAATTTAAAGTTTATTTTCACCATTGTTTTAGTTTAATTTGTGACTTCATTAAATACCTTAGTTACCATAGTTACAGAGACGAGACGTGCGTTTCAAATGAGAATCAAGGATTTTTGAGAAAAGAGAGAGAATTGACTGAATGTGACAGTTTTTATTTGAAAAGCAATGGAAGAATAAACTGAGATTATTATTTTAATTATTATTATTTTTATTATACTCCAGTCGAAAGATGAACGGATTATTATATTTATTATATTATAGTCTCCATCCGTCTGTTAACATTCTCTTGTTCTGCTCATGACTTCTGATCTGCTCAAAACAATTCAACGAAACTTGATAGACAAATGGATCATCGACAAGCAGAGTGCCACATTTATTTTCATCATGGCTGTTCCAAGGTAAAGGTCACAAATCAAGGTCAAATGTTATACTAGGTCTCTGCTTGTCCGCAGCATAATTTGTGAGCCATTCAAGATAATTTAATGAAACTATACAAATTTGCACGGCCACCAGAGAGAGTGTTACAAGGTCACAAATCAAGGTCAAAGATTTACCGAAGTCTTTCCATGTCTTTAGATTACTGTAGTTTGTTGACGAGCTTATAATGTGTCATATGCTGTAATCTTGTTAAGCAAATTATTTTTGCCAGTTTAATCCTTTTAAACAATTGCAGCAACACAACTTTTATAATACTGAGATTTTTAAAAAGCAAAAATGACCTTCACTTTGAAGCTAAAAGCATTTAAACCCCAATTTATGTTTTAATACAAAAAACCTGCTATGTCATTGTTTCTGTCTTGTACTTGTAAGTGGAAGTAAATGGACTATGGCTATTTATATATATTGTTTGCTTGTTTTGTAACTTTTGTTTCACTGTTATAAAAACATGTATAAGCTGTCCACCTCTGTGATACTCCCTGAAGCCCAGATGTGGTTGTCCTTCAGCATCACCATCCCGCTCAGGTCCTGCCTGTGCATGGAAGCCCCGCCCACCAGCATGGCGTACTTCTCCACCAGCCGAAAGCCCGGGGTGGTCTTCCTGGTGCCCGCCACTTCTCCGCCCCAGCCTGCAGCTTCAGCCTTCGCCCTGAGCTGTGCACAGCGGCTGGCGATCCCCGAGGCCCGGGCCAGGCAGTTCAGAGCCGGTCGCTCCCCGAGGAGGAGGCACCTCGCCGGGCCTCGGACCACAGCCGTCAGGGTGACCTCGTCTGGACCTGTCAGGGTTGGAGAAAACACAACGATGGAGATGTTTTTTTTTTTCACTCTGGGAGTGAGCTGTTTGTGGGATTCAGTTTGGTTTGGTGGGATGCTCAGACTGAAGAAGTCCTTCGGATGAAGGACGAAACGTCTCGGCAACAAAAGAAACTGTCCAGATGACCTGACTGAACATTGTTGAAAGATGGAGATGGTTTGTCCTGTGGAGAATTCAACAGACATCTGGGTATTTTTATTCAGTGAAGTGAAACTAGAACTTTTTGCTTTCAGCAACAGGAAATTTCAGCAATTCCTCTTTTGATTCAGACGTTTTGTCTGAATACTTTTCTTTTATATAAATATGGAGAGCAGAGTTTCAGACTTGAAACGGCTTTTAAACATGTTTTTAATATTTTAACTTATTTCAGTGGCAGATTATTCTACAGACATGAAAATAAATCTGTGTGACATTAAAATTACTCAGTACAAATCAAGAAATCAGAGATAAACCGTTCATCCAGAATTATATCAAATAGTTCAGCTTGAAAGAGTTTACTCCTGTAGTTCTCCAGCTGCAGTGATATTAAAATCCGAAGTGCAGGTACGCGCTCGACGTAAACAAAGCACTCGGTTAAATCTGCTGAAGCTCGAGTCGCAAGGCCGACCTTCATGATACTACCGTAGTCTGTATAGCTAAACAAGTGTGTAAACTTTAGCTGTTTCTGTAGGTAAACAAACGTTTGTTAGCAAATTTTGCTTTTAAATTTTCAAACTAAGAAAATTAAAATGAGAAAATACTGTGAATGTTTTTTTCTTAATTAATTGTTTTTGTCCAGTCTAAATGATTGTGCAATAAGCACATTTAATCTACACAAAATCTAATAGTTGTTAATGAGGGTGACAGGTTTTAATTTATTTATTTTTGGGTGGTAAACTGATCGTTTTTATTTTAAACCTGCCCTGATGTCACATGTACACGTTTTATGAAGACAGACTTTTAATTTAAAGGCTGTGGACACATTAAATGTCATGTTTCTGCATGATTTATCATCCCCTACAGTTTGTTCTTGTTGTCTAACTTGTGCATCTTTACACTTTTACATAAAAGCATCTGAGCCTACCGAGATGAGCTCCTTCCTGGTACATCCAGTGCACGGTGCAGCCCACCTCGGTGAACACCGCTGTGAAGAACGGACTCCCTGCCAGGACGGTGTGAGGAGTTTTACACAACAGTCTGGCCTCCACCTCCTCCGATCCAACGCACACACCTGCCGGGTCGAAGCTTGGTGCGTCTTCTAACAGCCACTCTCGGGCCAGTCGGGTCAGAGCGTGCGGCGGGACCGAATGCACCAACAGGTTCGTTCGTTCAGACATCCTGAAATCCTGCAGGGACATAAAAAAAGGAACTTTGACTATGCCTTAAGTTTTCATGAAAATATGATTTAACGCAGTAACTCTGAGGTTTAGAACAGTTTAATGTGCACATTTTAAGATTTTAAATGATTTTCATTATTCCTGCTGGTTCCAGACAAGACAAGACAAAAGAGAGGAATAGAAAAGGAGCAGATCACCAAATTATACCAGGAGATAAATTCACGGTGAGAAAAATAAACGCATCAAAATTCTCATACAGTCACGTTTCCTTTGGCTGTTTTCACCTACCGTATTTTTCGGACTATAAGGCGCACTTCAAATCCTTTCGAGTCCTCAAACATTGACAGTGGGCCTTATAATCTGGTGCGCCTTTTGTATTAATTCTGGTTGTGCTTACTGACCTCGATCTGATTTGATGTACAACTGCACAATCTTGAACGTCAATGTGAATGAGTTGGAAAAAAAGTTTAACTTCTCTAACTGTTTTGTTTCACTTGATGCGCCTTATAATCCGGTACGCCTTATAGTCTGAAAAATACATTATCTGTTTGGAAAATGCATCACTCCTCTCTGTCCAAACGGGACAAAACAACACGAAGCTGAGCGAGACGCTGCTTCCACCCTGGTCTACCGTCTGCTGCAAGCCCAAATGCTAATCCACAACTTAATATTACTGACAACAAACAATAAGATGCATGCTTACTTCTTTTAGCAGCTGTTTTCTGTAGATCAAAGTGCTGAGTGACGGAGGCGAGCGCACGGAGCTGCAGGGAAACTGTGACGAGGAATTTGACCCCAAGTCCGCGTTGGAATGTTTACAGAAGTCCCGCCGTGGGGGGGCCTAACATCGATCCTTTGCATTCACAGGCCTTTAGACCAGTGTTCACACTCTGAAAGACATTTACGCACGCCTATCTTTTGAGGAAACATTCTGTGTAGTTTTAATTTTGCCTAAAGGTACAGTTTCCTCAAATGACTGGAGTGGCTAAAGATTAATCTACGCCGACCAAGGCACCATTGGCCACCCCCTGGCTCCGTCTCCCTCCACTCGCCAGGATTCATCACTTTCCATGATTTATACCTGCAGATCATCAATCATATTTATACCGTCTGTAACTGTCAGTCACAATATGACCGACAGAAAACACGAAAAGCTTTTAACGTTTTACATTAAATGGGAACACATTGTTTAATGAACATAATTTGTATTGATAAAAAATAGCCCTCCCATTAAACCCATAAATAATTATTTATTAAAAATGTTTTAGATAGTAGATAGCAGCTCTCTGCTCCACACAGAGGGCTGTGGTAGCTCGGTGATCTGTGGTTGCATCAGGAAAGGGCATCCGGCGTAAAAACAAATCTCCAAGTCTTCGTGCGAGTTGGTTTGCTGTGGTGACCCCTGAAGAAGGGAGCAGCCGAAAGAAGAAGAAATAGTTTTTTTTAATTCCCTGCTGTTCATCTTATGATGAAGCTAAAACCCCACCACTATGCAACACTTACAGTAAGTTCATGCACGCTTCAGTTTTAATAATGACTCAAAAACTGACAGAACATTAAAAGAATGAAAAGGATGGAATTTCAAAAAAAGATAATTTATAGCAACCCAGAACAGGATACAAGTTATTGACAAATTGTCAAAAGACAAAATTAGGGATGCACATATTAGATTTTTGGCCGATATCCAATATGCCGATATGTTTAAACTTATTTTGCTGATAACCGATACCAATATTTTTCCCTAGACCTACTTACAGAGACTACATAGCATTCTCTGCTGTGGAATTAAACTGCTACATTATTCTGCAAGGTCTTTGTCAGTTTGGCCTGCTACCAAATGCAGATGCCAAAAAGGGGTCTGGAAATGATCTAACACTATTAGTTAAAAAAAACAGTGCCTTTTATATCAGTGAGATATTTTAATGGAATGGCCGATGTCCGATATTTAACTTTATCGCTAATATCGGCCGATACCGATACCATGCCGATAATATCGTGCTTCCCTAGACAAAATGTAATTTGAAGGAAAGTAAAACATTTAGTCTGTTTGAAATCCAAATGCATCTTTTTCACCTCCATTTTGTGTTCGATTTAATTTATCAGACATTTTAGTTATAAAACCTCAGGTTTGAATCTGTTCAGTCCAGCAGCTTGCATCAGATCTTCCATCATCCTGAGCCCGTCTGGAGAGGAACGAGTCCAGTATAACAAAAAGAAACCTCTACCAGAACCAGAACCGGTGCCCATCTGACTCATCGTGCTGCGAGTTGAGAGCAGCAGGTCAGTGTTACCTGCTGTGGAGGACACCCAGCAGAGGTCATCGTAACAGCAGCGTGTTTTGTGCCTGCAGAATAAAGACGGCAGAGTGAGCCACACACAACGTCACGAGATGTTCTCCAGCTGCCTCAGCCGATAGCAGCATAACTACAGAGAACGCCTTTATCAGTAAATTAGTTTCAGTCTTGAAGGTAAAAGGGTCTCTGCCCTCTGGAGTCAAACAGGCGCTTGATAATCTGCGGCCTCTAAGTTTACTTTTAGACATCGTTACCACAAGTCGATCTGTCCTCTGAGAGCAGAAGTAATTCAGGTTTAACCCCTCGGAGTGCTCCGAATACAGCTTTAATTTTCTTGTACATTTATTCCCCCGTTTCAGCTGCTCCATTCTGCAGGGCTCGCTACAGAGAGTGAACTTCCACAATCGAATTACCGATTGTTTCACGCCGGATGCCCTTCCTGACAACCTGGTCTGTAACCCGCAGTAATAATATACATGTACATATGTACATGCATTATGCATGTTATGTGAAACAGTTGGAGTCGGTAACAAAACAAGCACTTTTTAGAAGTACAGCTAATGCAGCATGATTCAAAGTTTGTAGGAGATAAAGATTCTGGTTTATTTCTATTCCCATGTGTAGAAATATGTCACTTCTTTGTATAAAATTTGAACAGTTCAGGGAGACATTTGTTCACTCTAGGGGCCAGAAAAAAATGTAACTGGGTTGTTTTACTGATTTGTTAAATATCCTAATAAATTTAAACAGGCCTAGAATTTTCATATTTAAGACTAAGTTAAAAGTTAAAATAAGCAAAACGCAAGCTAAAGTAGAAATACTAGCCAAATGTCAAAATTAGCACATTGTAGCTAAAAGTAGAAAAAATGCTAGGTAAGTTAGCAAAATGCAGCTAGAATCTAAAGTAGATGGCAAATATATTCAGCATATTGTTGTTTTCTATTTATTTTCCTTCCTGCTGCTGTAGCTTTTGTCGTGTATTAATTATTTAGTTTTTCGTCAATACGATGGTACAGTGGTTAGAGACGTCACCGTTTGTTTACGCTCTCCTCGTACTGCGTTGGTTTTCTCCACTTTCCTCACTCAGACCAAAAACATGCACAGTGGTAACTCTACTGTCTCTAGATGTGAGTGAAAGTGTGAATGGTTGTTTGTCTCCATGTGTCCTTGTGATGGACCTGTCCAGGGTGTCCCCCACCTCTCATTAAATGATCACTAGAGATGGACTTCAGCCCCCTGTAACCCTGAATGGAAAACCAGGTAAGACAATGGATTGATCAGTAATTTACATTGCCTGGCCAAAAGAAATAAAAGTCACCACCAAAAACATATATTTATAATATTTTGTTGGACCACCTATAGCTTTGATTACATCATGCATTCGCTGTGTCATTGTTTCGATAAGTTTCTGCAACGTCACGATCTAGTTCATCCAGTGTTAATTTTTCACCAAGATCTTGCATTGATGACTCGACACTAGTCATGATGGGTGCATCACTTCACCTGCCTCTCTTCTTACCCTGATGCACCATCACTCTGGAACAGGTTCAATCTGGACTCTTCAGACCACATGACCTTCTTCCATTGCTCCACAGTCCAATCTTTATGCTCCCTAGCAAACTGAAGCCTTTTTATCCAGTTAGCCTCACTGGTTAGTGGTTTTCTTAAGGCTGCACAGCTGTTTAGTCCCAATCCCTTGAGTTCCCTTCACACTGTGCACGTGGAAATGTTCTTACTTTCACTATTAAACACAGCCCTGAGTGCTACTGTTGTTTTTCTTCCATTTGATTTCACCAAACGTTTAAGTGATCACCGATCACAATCATTCAGGATTTTTTCCAGCCACCTTTCTTCTTCAAAGACGATGGATCCCCTCTATCCTTCCAGTTTTTAATAATGCGTTGGACAGTTCTTAACCCAATTTTAGTAGTTTGTGCAATCTCCTTAGATGTTTTCTCTGCTTGATGCGATGCCGATGATTTGACCCTTCTCAAACAGACAGACATGTTTTCCACGACCACGCGACGTGTCTTTCAACACGGTTGTTTAAGAAATGAGAAACAACTCATCGAACCAGTTGGGGTTAAATAACTTGTTACCAACTGAAAGATAATCCCACATGCAGTAATTATCCAAGAGGAGGCTCGGACATATTTGCTTAGTTAAATACAGGTGGCAACTTTTTTGGGGGGGCAGGTAGTGTTTAGGCTTTATTTTAAAAATAATAATAATAATAAATCATAAACTACATAAATAATAAACTAGACTTTTTATTAAACTCAACATGTGTGTAGATTTTTTTTTTTTTTTCAATATTTTTTTTAATTACAGTGCTCTGTAAGTGTTAAAATAAAATAATAAATAATATTGATTCCTGTCTGGAGCAGTTCTGCTTCCATTTTTAAATCCTGAAGTACCACAACAGGAAGTGAAGCGCGTTCACGATGCTCGGGCACTTGGGTTCTCCTGATTACGTCACAGACACGCGCTGGCGGTAACGCGCCCACAGCTCCCACCGCCCGCCACCCTTCCGTGGCGGCAGCTGGAACCAGGAAGCGAAAGTACACACATGGAGGGTGTGTCTGTCCCCCGCCAGCGTCCGTTTTACTCCTAAAAACACGGTCCTCCGCCGACGCACTCATGGGGGACACGGCCAAGTACAAGCGGCGGGAGCAGCTGAAGCGCTGGGCGGGCTCCAGCACCGACAGAGCGTCGGACCTTCCCCGGCGGATTCAGCCGGGCGACGCCGCGGACCGAGAGGCCGGGGCCGAGCCGAGCGACCGGCCGGGAGAGCAGCTGGAGTCCGCGGGCAGAGATGGAGGCAGCCCCGTCCTCAGAAGACGGTGAGGACATGTCCCTGTCCAACTTGTCTACAAAAAAAGAGAGAAGCATAAATAAGATAAAATCAGGCGCTATCTTCTGTTAGCGGAAGTTTTCTGTTCTCAGTCAGAAATGACTTTCTTCTCCTCTATAGGTTTAATCTGTGGGATTACAGATTATCATTCTTGTTTTTAATCACGGAGACATTACAAGCGCTTCTTCTTTCCAGGGCCGTATTTAGAGGATTTGGGGCCCTTCACTTCCTTTGTTTTATCGTGTTTAACCCTTCAGTATAAAACCACACTGTCTTTACAACAGTACTCTTTATGTCCAATTTATTTTAATTTCCATTTCAAGCTTCCCTTCTGTTAATTTGTGAAGAGGTCTGAGTCCGTCCTCCAGGCTTCAAAATCTTTTTAGGACTTTCTGAGTAACTTTTCTTCGTGGCTCCACGAATCATGTAAACATAAACAAACGTAAACTTTGGGAAAGAATCTGTGTTGTGTCTACATATAACATCGATCCATTTGTACTGGTTTTTCCATGCAGGGTTACAGGGAGCTGGTATCTGTTCCCAGCAGTCATAGTGGTACACCTTGGACAGGTGACCCGTCCACAGGGACACGAGCTGTCATTGTCCAGTCTCATCAGGTCTACACGTTCTCTGTGGTTTTCTTGGGTGCCGCTTCGATGTGGGCGAGATCGATATAGGGTGACCGTTCAAGGGGGGTAACAATAATGTGCCGTCAAGAATACAGTTGTGTAAGATGAGTTCACACACCTGTGGGGGTTGTAGTTTTTAATTGTATTTTTTAAAGAAGTAAAACTACAACAGAAAATTTGCCCTTTTTTTTTGCAGTTTAGAGCTTCCTGCAGTCACAGCCCAGTAAAATAGGACATTAAACAACAAACCTTTTCACGGATGCCGATGTGTAAAGTTGGGTGCCACCTGCCCACATACACTCAGAGCTACTTCTGGGAGCTATGGTAGAATTATACTGGTTGACTGATCAAGTCGACGCAAAGATGAAACCTCAAACCTAAGGATCATTTGTACCGGTAATAAGGTTTTCCTCAGATAAGGAGGACCTAGTCGGCAATCGCAACGAGTTAACAAACAACAAATAAAAGTGGATTAGATGTCAAAAAACAGGAAGAAGGCATGAATATATCTAGACCACAATGCATTGCAAAATAACTGACTTTGAGCAGCACGGTAGGTTTTTGCTGGATTTTTTTTTCTTTTTCTGTTCTTAAGGATTTCTCTTGACCTGCTTCGGTGCATCACCTCCCCGATGTCCTTTTTGAGCGTACTTTTCTGGATTTGTTGTCCAAACCGGTCTTGTTTCGTCTCTTTCGTCAGCGAGTTACAAAGGTCATCTTGAGCTGTTGTTAATATGAACAGATTAATCACAGCAGTGATGAATTTATTTTTGATTTGCTGATGTCAGTCGTGTGTTTTGTTGCTGTATTGTGAATGTCTTGAAGGCACAGATTAGGTTGTGACACTAGCGATGTCCCAATAATGTTTTTATCCCCAAAGCCAATCTGGTTAGTTTAAGTCTCTAAATGATAAGTACATTATTTAGTTTTTTTAATCCTACAGACTCTAAAGTTAAATTATTTTCTTTGTGAGCCTCAGTAGCTCTAGGTTGGAGTAAAGAAACCTGTCGAGGTTTCTTTGTCATTCACATCACATGTGGTGGAACAAAGTTTTTGTACAGAGTTCCAGTTACGTCTAACAAAAGTATAAATTGTAAAGAAACATAGTAATAAGATCTAAGATATGAACTAAGAATACGCTAAGCACTAGTAGTACAAAAACAATACGCCGAACATCAGCAGCACAAACATGAGTCTGTGTGAGCAGATGATGACAAATGAACACAGTAACATGAAACAGATCAGCAGCATAAGATCAGCAGCATGGATAGTCAGCAGCACATATCAGCAATAAGTGGCATTACAGTGATTTTTTTTTTTCCAGTGATAATCCTGATTAGGAATTCAAGAGTCTAACAGCCTTAGGGTAGAAGCTATAGGTGTGTTTTGTTCTGTCTGAAGTCCACGACCATCTCCTTCGTCTTCTTCACATTGATGTGAAGGTTGTTCTTCCTGCACCAGCTCTCCAGGTGTTCCACCTCCTGCCTGTAGCTGGACTCATCGTTGTTTGTGATGCATCCCACCACCTCTGTATCATCTGCAAACTTTACAATGTGACAGCTTGGATGGGTAGATGCGCAGTCATACGTGAGCAGAGTGAACAGGAGGGGGCTCAACACACAGCCCTGAGGGGAGCCAGTGCTGAGGGTTATGGTGGAGGAGAAGTTGTGGATCCTCACAGACTGTGGTCCGTTTGTTAAAAAGTCCAGGACCCGGTTGCAAATGGAGGAGCTTAGTCCTAGTGTGAGCAGTTTTTCCATCAGTGTGTTCACTGTGTTCATGTCACATGTTCTATTACCATCCAGGGAAAGAAAAGTCCTTTTTGCCAATTGAGCTTTTTAAACATCAGTGGTAGTCCCGTGTTTGCAGGGTTGGATGTATCGTGGCTCCAAATCGTGATTAAAAACCCGTTTTATCCGTTACAGCGTCAGCGATGGGTTGGTCAACCAGAGCAATAAATTCAGTCCCTGGTTCTGTAAACTTCTGAGCCTTAGTCTCGTGGAAACCCGTCTCTTTTCTTTAAAACTCTAAAGACCTACTGTATCTGTGTGAACTCTTGAGTATTCGGCTCAGTCTTTGGTTTTAAATGGTGTAGCCGATCGTAGCGGTTCCTCATCACCACAGGAAACTAAAAATGTTCCAAATACGTCCGTACTACCAACGTATGTCGTACCGTTTTTGGCACCCACTTTACAGCACCACGGATGTCAAATCAGACATTTGGGATCCAGAGTGGAGCGATGCGGATCAGAGAAAACCGTCTGGATTGAGACCGTGATCTGATACAATCGTCTTGGGACATCTCCAAGTCCTCTTTAAATCACTGCTTCAACAGCAAGTCGCGACAACCAAAACATCTGTCCTTTACTTAATGCAGGGTGGTACAGTGGAGCAGTGGTTAGAGCTGTCGCCTCACAGCACGACGGTCGCAGGTTCACCTCCAACTGGGGGCCTTTCTGTGTGGAGCTTTAACGTTCTCCCCGTGCTACAAGGGTCTTCTCTGGGTACTCTGGAGACCAAAAGCATGCATAGGTTCAGTGGTGACTCTAAACTGTCCCTAGGAGAATGGTTGTCTTGTTTGTCTCTGTGATGGACCGGGGACATGTCCAGGGTGTCCCCTGCCTTCACAGTGACTACTGTAGACACCAGCTGCCTGTGGCCCTGCAGGTAAAAAAAACGGATGGATCAATGCTGCGTCTCTGCTAAAAAAACAACAAATTTTTTGCTTTTCTTTCTTCATTTTCTTTTATTTTTCCAACGTTTCTGGGTTTGTTTTGTTCCATCTTTTAACATCTGTTCTGCAGCTGTGGAGACGCCGTCTCACAGCTGTCCTCCTGCTTGCATTTGGTCAAATCTTGGCTGCTTCCAGCCACTTCTGCACAATATTCCTGTTGCATGACCTACTTCTGACTCGGCATATTCAGAGTGACTTGCTGAATTTTATAATCCCACCGACTGCCAGCCAGGTGGGATTATATTTTATAAGATTGTCAGTGTTGACTTCAGGTTATAATGTGGTCGATTTAAAAACCCCAGCTCAGATTCAGCCTCCAGAATTTTGTTTAAGCTTCACAAGCAGACACGGCAGATCTTAAAACATTTTCCAGATTAAATTAGGTTTTTATTTTAGTTTCTTCTGAGTCAAATCTTTTTAAATCGCGCTGGTTTCTCCGGAAGTTCAGAACTTACGTCTTTTGTGTCAAATTATTACATTTTCTCCTGTTTAAAACAAAAAATAAATAAATGAGGTTTAAACCGTTCCGATTATCAGAGCAGTGATTTCTAGTTGCTTCCGTTTGTAGGAAGAGGGTGAGGTTTGACAGAGTGGCTGAGTTTCTGGCTGCTTGCGCCAGCGGAGACACGGAGGAGGCCAAGGCCATGCTGGAGGAGGCCCAGCGGTCCAAAACCATCAACGGCGAGAACGTGACGGACCTCATCAACTGCTCCAACTCTGACGGCATCACCGCCCTGCACCAGGTGATCCAGTTTCACATAATCCTGTCAAAACTATGAAACCATCTGAAGGAGGTTAACGAGCTATAAGAGCGTAAAACTGAACGGTGGTGAAATGGATAAATTAGGAATGAAGGTGTTGAGGCTTAATTTATTTACGTTGGAGTTAGTTTTAAATCAGAGGTGCTCTAAAGGGAGCACGTGTTTGGTCGTCACACCTCAAACGTCCTTTCAAGGACACAAAACCGTTCAATATATTCCTTTTTGCTTGGTGTCTGCTCAGGCCTGCATCGACGGCAGCGTGGAGATGGTGGAGTTCCTCGTGGATCACGGCACCAACGTGAACCAGGTGGACAGCGAGGCGTGGACGCCGCTGCACGTGGCGGCGTCCTGCGGCCACTCGGACATCGTAGAGTGAGTTCAATGAACAGAAACGACCCTTTGTCACCGGGGGGGCGTCGGTGTGGGCGCTTGAACAACGCTCGCATTGTTGTCGTGCTTTGTGAGATAACGTGTCGCTGCAGCGTGACTCAAAACATGGAAGAACTTTTTTTTTTCCTGCAGTCGTGGTTGTTGGATTGTTCTTCTCGCTGTGGGGGTGGAACCTGCAGCACAAACACAGATAACGTGACCGAATGATAGGATCAGGAATTTAACAGATTTTTTTGTCCTTTTGTTTGTTTTTAGATTCCTTTTGCAGAAAGGCGCATCTCTTACTGCCGTGAACTGCGACGGGGACGTCCCTCTGGACATCGCTCTGGACGAGACCACCGAGTCTCTTCTCCAGGACTTCTCTCTGAAACAGGGTGAGCCCAAAACTGGTGTTCAGATTTCAGTGGCGTTCGCCTCGATGATGCCTTTAAAGAAAGTTTAATGAAACGTTGGGTGCTTCCCTGGAGGGTCGGGGACGGATGGGGTGGAGCTGGACCTCGGAGCTCTTGAACAGACCCCAAAGTGAAGCCTCAGGCAGGTGGGAGTGTGGAGGAACAGCTAAGGGCTATTTTAAAATCAGATTCAAGTTTTATTTAAATTATATTTTATATTTCCTTCTATTATAAGTTGTCATTTGTCCTTTTAGTTTGTGTCTTTTTAACGCTTCCATCAGCCTCCACCACTGTGCTGACAGCAGGGAGGAGCTGTTTGCTGCAGTGCATTCTGGGTAAACGGCTCTGATTCTCAGTCCAGAAGTCCTGTGGTTCCTCCAGATGAAACTTTTCAAACCCAAGTTGTGTTCGAGAGAAGAGGTCATGACCTTTGACCTGTAGTCTGGGGTGGAGCTCATTTCTCTGAGCACCGCACAGTCTGACCTTCAGGGTGAATCTGCCAGGAAGGTTGTCGGCTGTCTTAAATGTTTTCCCCTTGGGAATCGTCTCTTCTGTCTGAAGAACGATGGACTCCAGACGGTTTGGAAATTACCTTTGCCCAGGATGGGCAGCAACGTCTGCTTCTTTGAGGTCATTTCTGATGAATTTCCACCTTGGCGTTGTGTTGACACAAGCATTATTGTTTAATAAATAACAACTTTGTTTTCAGTCAGAATTATTTCAGAACCAGGCAAAAACCCGATCAATTTATTAAGTCTTGATGAGTAAAACCCAGAATAAATTAAGATGATCTGTTATTTTTAAACCTAAATATAATAATATAAATCAGATTAAATCTATTTTCTTGTATCGTTGGTTTGCGATCGTCTCACGTTTAACAAGTTTTTTCCTGAGACTTGTATCTGTAATCTGCTCTGAAGGAGTCTGGTGCGAAATACCTCAAACATTTACTCGTGATAAGAAATGACAAACTAGGACGTTGGTCAATATTCAGGGTTTATATGAAGAAGAGAAAAATAACTTTCGTTTACTGCCGGTGTTTGAAAAACAAATGTTAAATTAATAAAATGCTTAAAGTGAGGAAAGAACAGAATAAAACACCTGAGGAGGATTTGACTTCCTGCTTCCTGATTTATTGATCCTCCAAGAGGAAGACAGGAAAACAAAACATTTTAAAAATCGCTACAATGCTAATTTTTATTTATATGAATAAATATAACGACCTGTAAAATCTTGTTGATCTGATTGTTTTTACTTTCTGTGAGCATCGAACAAGATTTGAACTAATGGATATTTAAAGCTCGTTTTAAAAGTTTTAATCGTGAAAACTTTGCCCAAAAAGAACAAAATAAGTTATTTCGCCGTCTCCTTCCTTTTTGTGTCTGCGTGAGCAGCTTCAACCCAAATGGGAAAATAAAAATTCACATTTGTTTTAATTGTGTGAATGTTTATGAAGCGCTCACTCTGTTGTGATCCATTTTTATTCTGTACGTTTTTCACAGAAATTCTCGTCCCGCAGTTTTCAAGCTGTTTCTACAAATCGTGGATCAAAACGTTCAGCTCTTTCAGGACCCAATCCCTAAAGGCTCCCTGGGCGCTTGCATAGCCGCCCACTGCTCCACCTGCGTGCATCTCGGCTGCGATGAGTTAAATGCAGAGAACCAATGTCACCATTGTATGGGAACATACAATGATGACAGCACTTAGCACTTTACTTTTACTTTACAACCCTGCTTTGACTTCTGGTACTGGTGCAACTTTAGCTTTTTGAAATATTTAGCCTTTTCTACCATTTTTTTAGTGGAAAATTAATTGAGCTCAATTTACATCCTTAAAAATTTTAGCTGTGTTTACAACCTTTTACTGCTCCTTTCACATTTTGTTCTGGCTCAGCTTCTTTCAGCTTCCTGTTGCAAATTTAAAAAAATCAGCTACTTTCAGCTAATTTCAGCTGTTTATTCAGCTGTTTTGTGCTCCTTTTAGATTCTTTCTGCTAACTTCAACATTTTTGTTGTTCTAACTTCTTTCTGCTAATTTCAGCTTGTTATGCTCTTTTCAGCTTATTACTGCAAATTTAAGCTTTTTCTACTATTTCATTTATTTAGCTGTTTTTATGCTAATTTAAGCCCCCCTTTTTTTTTAGCTAATTCCACATTTTTTGCACTTATTTCAACCTTTTTCAGCCTAATTCAGCAAAAATGTGCTCTCTAGCTTCTTTCTGCCTTTTAAACTACTTTTCAGCTGTTTTTGCCAATTTCAGCTTTTTTCAGATAATTTCCACTTTTTGTGCACATTTCTGCTTCTTTCAGCCTAATTGGGCAAACATGTTCTTTCTGATTTCTTCTGGTAATTTAAGCTTGTTCAACTTTTTAGCATTCCTGAGCTAATTTCAGCTGTTTTCAGATAAATTTGTTTTCATAGTAATTTCTACTACTTTTAGCCCAATTAACCTCTTTATGGTAATTTCAGCTTGTTATGCTCCTTTCAGCTTTTGTCTGCTAGGTTCAGCCTTTTCTGATATTTCCGCTACTTTTTAGCTGTTTTTTTGTGTGCTAACTTTAGCTTTTTCAGCTAATCACACTTTTTTTTTTTTTAGCTCATTTCATCTCTGTCCACTTCCTTCTGGCAGTTTAAGCTTCTTGCTGCCTTTTCAGCTATTTTTAACAAATTTCCTAGTTTTTGTGCTCATTTCTGCTTATTTAAAGTTAATTCAGCAAATATGTGTTCTTTCTGCTTTCATCTGCTAACTTCGGCTTGTTCTTCCCTTTCAGCTACATTTCAGAATGTTTTAGTTAATTTCAGCTGTTTTTTCAGCAAGTTCTTCAGCAGTAAGCATTCACACTGCATTTTCACATTAATTTCTTTAGCTCTCTGTGTGCTTGTTCTCATCCATCCATGTTCTTTACCCGGTTCTCATTCTGGGGAGACGGGGGACACCCTGGACAGATCTCCAGTCCATCACAGGGACACTTGGAGACAAACGACCGTTCACGCTCTCACCTTGGGATTCAATGAACCTAACGTGCACGTTTTCAGAGAGAACATGTGAACTCCACCCGTCTCGCTGTTTTTCTTCATGTTTATTGAACCTTCGGCTGATCTTATCACATCAGCTTCAGTTTTCTGCAGCTCGATTCTCACGTTTCACGTCGAAAATAAGTTTCTCACCAAAAGGTCCGTTTGGACGAAGCAGCGCACGAAACACATCCGAGCGTGAGTCGGTCGTTCTGTGCAGAAGTTAAAATTAAAGTGCACGGAAATTAAAAGCCTGTACGAACTGCTTCATACGACGGCAGAACTTCCTCTGTTCTGGACCGTTGTTCTTTGTTCAAACTGTATTGTGCTTTAAAAAAAAAAACATTTTTAACAAACAACTTTGTGCTTCTTCTTTCTCTGTTTGTTTAAAATCTCTAAAAGTAAAATAAAGTTCATAATCCAAAAACAAACACTGGTTGTTGAAGCAGAGTTTATAAACAAAACGGTTTTAACTTGTATTTATCATCGTCGACCACTGAAGACAAAGGTGATCACTTGTCTGCACTGTTAGCAAAATATCTGATGAGCCAGCAGACAGATTTAATGAAAACTGTCAAAGTAATTACTAGATGTTCGTCTACAACCGATGGCCGCCACACCTAAATGACCTCAACATAAAAGCAGGTCAGTCCATCAGTTTTAGAAATGCTGAGCTAAAGCTGGTGTGGTAGTAGCTGAGCACACCTCAGCACGTACCCTTGAGCACAGATGGATGCCGCTGCACAAAGTGCAGTTTACAAAAACACATCTGTAGTTTAAGACTCGGACAAATAAAGAGGCGAGCAACATGCATTTCTTTGAGGAACGGCGTCCCAGAACTTTCTTCTTCTTTTTTTTAATTTTTAAGGTGTGGACTTGGAGTCGGCTAAACGTAGAGAGGAGGAGCAGATGATGTCGGACGCCCGGGCCTGGCTGAACGACGGCCCGCCCGCTGATGTTCGCCACTCGAGAACCGGAGCCACGCCTCTGCACGTGGCGGCTGCCAAAGGCTACCTGGAGGCCCTGAAGTACGCTTATCTCATAAAACCATGTAACGTATTTGTACTGAGGATTTTAGGTTTGTTCCTGTTCGGATCGCGTTCGGTTCGTGTGGGGAACTCAAAATGCAGCTTTTAAAAGATGGCACTGCGTTCCTCCGTCCACTATAATTAAAGTTATCTATCCGTAACGACGGTGATGGAGATCAACCTCCACGTCGGTGTTCGGCAGCAATCGGCTCCACGTTAAACGTAATTACTCACTTAAAAATGGCATCGCCTGAATGTAAACGTAGCTGACTCGAAGTAAAAAACTAAAAATTCACACCAAAACCTAACGAACACCACGGCAGTTTTACAGCAGCAGAGTGAAAGTAATAAATCCACAGACTGTATATAATAACGCATACCGGCTAAGAATAGAACAAAGTTCCAGGATGGTGTCTTTATCTAAATCAGGGGTGCCCAGTCACGGTCCCTGTGGGCCCCCATCCTGCAGGTTTCAGCCATTTCTGTGCCTTGACAAAGCTGATGTGAACGAATGATTAACAGGCTTCTGCAGAACCTGAAGACCTGATGAAGAGTAGAAAAACTAAATCCTCCAGGATCGCTGATCCCTTAAAGTGCCTGTGGCATCACATTTGGTAATAAATATGAATGCATTATTGGAAATACGGCGTTAAGTTTTCCTAAAACAGATTCATGCCTCTGAGATAAACAGTTGAGATATTAACATGTGCAGTAAAGGGTCTGCACGTGAACACAACATTACTAAAATAAACATCACGGACGGAAGAGAAGAATCTGACGTTTCTTTAGATCGTTGAGTCTCGGCGAGAGTCGAAGAAGAGTCTGTTTAAATAAGATTCAATAAAAGAAGAGCAGAAAGTTCCCCTTTTTAAAGAACTCCCCTATGACGTCACTTCCTGTTTCACTTTGGCTGCTCAAAGTTCAAAAGAAAAACATCTGCTATGTGACAAAACGGGTAAAATCAACCAATAAACCATCCGTCATCTTTACCAGCTTCTTTCTCTTCGGTGCACGGGGTCAGTGGTGTCCATGTCCATCAATCACTGTGTGAGAGGTGGGGGACGCCATGGACAGGTCTCCAGTCCATCACAGGGACACATAGAGACAACCATTCACTCTCTCACTCACACCTAGGGTCAATTTAGAGTTACCAATCAGCCTAACATGCATGTTTTTAATCTGTGGGAGGAAACCGGAGTACCCGGAGAAAACCCACGCATGCACGGAGAGAACATGCAAACTCCACCCTGAAGGGTCGGCCCAGATTTAATCTGGTGACCTTCTTGTTGAGAGGCGGCAGCTTTACCAACTGATTTTTTTCTTCCACATGTAGGAAACACAGGCGCTGTAATGTAACCGTCCTGAAAACGTACCGAACTGTGAACGATGGCAGCCCGAGTTAACGAGCTGACCCACTGTACCAAGGTTCACGGGTGTCACTCCTGCGTGTTCTGCTCCCTCAGGATCCTGTGTCAGTGCGGGCTGGACGTGTCGGCCACAGACTTCGACGGCTGGACGCCGCTCCACGCCGCAGCCCACTGGGGTCAGGGCGAGGCCTGCCGCATCCTGGCGGAGCAGCTGTGCGACATGGAGGCTCGCAGTAACGGGGTGAGGCCTTTAACGCTTTAACTTCAGTTCGACGTTCGTCTCGTTTATTCCGTCTGCGATGTGAACTGTGCAGGGCCAGACGCCTTTCGATGTGGCCGATGAAAATGTGTCGGAGCTCCTGAAGGAGTTGTCACAGAAACAAGCCAACGTAAGAGACTTGATCGATATTTGGTGTGAAGCGTGTTGATTTTTAGTTTTGAGGGTTTTTCTTGTTTTTTCTCTTTCAGTGGCGCAGTGAGCAGTCGATATCGGACAAACAGAACCAGCAAGGGTCCAACACCGCCAACGCACAAAACAAGCGGCGGAGGTTAAGATCCATATTTAACTTGTTTTAAATCGCAAACATTTTTCCTGACTGGATTTATTTATGATCTTTGCTGCCCAAAGTTACATCGTCGGCTCCGTAAAGGTCAAAACTCGAGAGGAAAAAAAACCAACACATTTTGAATTATAAACCGCAGAAGAAGAGTAAAGAGAGCCCAGATCAAAATAAATGTTAAAGCAGCTGCCAGAGGCTCATTACGGTCACCATGGTAACCATATATCTGTGTCTCGCTCCCTGACTGCCAAGTTAATGAGAAGCAGACTGAAAAGTAAGCCTCGAGCTGTTGCCGGGTGAAACTAAATCGGATCTTTTTTTAACCCGAGTGTCGACGTGGTCAAAGTTTCTACGTGTTCATGTCGGAGAGATGACGCGTTAAAAACATTTCGCTCGCAGTTTTAAAGAGAATATTCTGAGCTAAAATATAACTCTCTCTGCAGTCTGGGAGGATTTGAGAGAAAAGTTCAAGTCCTTGAGCAGTGAGAGACACGACGGTTCAAGTCTGAGCTTCAAACAGCTGGTCTGAACCTCTCGCTTCATCTAAACCCTGCAGACCTCAGTTATTTTATTTATCTTGTAGTTTTTACCACGTTGTTTGTTACTCCAACGCCTAAATCCAGAGCTCTCTGTTCCCAATCGAACCGCTCATCTTGGTGCACAATTTGCATGTTTTATTTAAAAACTACAGGACACGTTTTTAATTTAAAGCTTTAATCCCCAATTTTTTATCATTCACTGACATCTTAGAATACAGTTAGGAGGTTTGAGTTATTTAAAGCTTGTAACTCAGTGAAACTGTAAAGGTTAAAGAACGGCTCGTTTGTGTGTCAGGAGTTCAGTGTGCCGGATGAGCAGCAAAGACAAGATGAACGTGCAGGATCAGTCTAAAGAGAGGGGCGTTTCAGGAGGCCTGGAGCTGAACGAGGAGAAGGACAGCAGCCCCGGTAAATCAGCATCCAGTCACTGGAAATGTGTTTTTTTTTTTTTTTATTGCTAATTATAAAACGATTCTCGTATTTCTCTGCAGAAAGCTCCACCGTGTCCAGTCCAGACTCTGAGAGCGTGACGGCATCTACAGTCAGTCCTGCTGATAAGGTAAAACCCCGTCAGGCTCGCATCTGCCTCTAAATTATTATTATTATTTTATCTTTATTGAAAAAGTACAAAACAATACAATAAAATGCAGTATACAGTAATGATATAACAGACGTCAGGGGGTTACAAACACTGACAATAATTTACAATAGCGTTACATAAATATATTGAAGAGCGCACACAAGGTGCAAGTTTTTATGGCCTTTGTGTTGGTGGAATATTTAACAGTTGTTTGACTAATTTTCAAAAATGGAGATGAGGTTTTTGATTAGTGTATCGACATTTAAGAATATGCCATTTGGCTAGATATACATCTGCCTCTAAAGTGACGAAACTCTTCGGATAAATGAGCCTGTTAAAAGTTCAGCAGAGAAAAGTTAAAGGTGTCAGAACAACTCATCAGAAACTAAAAGGGGAGAATACACAATCTGTGGTTCGGTCTACTTCCTGGATAACAATAGTCAAACCTGTTTGAAACCACCTCCCTCACCACCAGGAAATGATTCAATCAGTTTTATGTTCTCTGGTGAAAAATACAGTGGAGCAGTGATTAGAGCTGTCGCCTCACTACAGAAAGGTCACAGGTTCGCCTCCCACAGACCAAAAACCTCCATGTTAGGTTCTGTGTGGTCCAGATGGATTCTCTTCACAAAGACTCCAGCCAGGATCAGGTGGAAAGGAGGAACCCAGACCAGTGGTCGTTCCATATGTTGTTCAGAGAAACTGAGACGTTTGTTTTGTAAACACAACGTCCCAGTGGCTTTTAAACCCCAAAATACATTAAAGACTGGTTCATCCCAAAGATCCAGTCCTCCGTCACAAACAGAGTAATGTTGTGTATGCTGCTCAGTGCCAGGAGGGTGATCAGTCTTACATCGGGGAAACTAAACAGCCACTGGCCAAAAGGATGGACCAGCACAGAAGATCAACATCATCAGGCCAGGACTCTGCGGTCTACACTCATCTCCAGGCCAGAGGTCACTCTTTCAGGGATGAAGATGTTCACATCCTGGACAGAGAGGAACGATGGTTTGAGAGAGGAGTAAAGGAGGCCATCTTTGTGAAGAGAAACTGTCCATCATTAAACGGGGGCGGAGCCTCCATGTCCAGCTGTCTCCCTCTTACAATGCTGTTATTGCTAGTATCACTCAGCCCTCTGTGAATAGCAAGCAGCCATCAGGTGCTAATGATCAGTCATTAAGCTGATGGTCCTCCTTTTACATGTGAACAGCTGGTTCTGGATGTCACCAGCAAACTGGTTGATCCACCATGTGAAGGTGTTATTTATAAGACTGAGTTTGTTGCAGCTCCTCAGACTGAAGAAGTCTTTTGGATAAAAAACGAAACGTTTCCACAAGAAGAATCCGTCCAGAGGAACTGACTCGACCTCAATAAATACCTTTATCGTTTTAAAGCAGGGAGTTTAAACTTAAGTTTGTTTCTAGTAATTTAATTTAATTTTTTTCAAATTAAATATCCATATTTTACTTTTTTTAGGGAAAAGGTCAAAAAGCTCAATGTGAGGACGGTTTACTGCATCACGTGTTTGGGTTGGGTAGATCAAGATGGCCGCCACAGCTAATCAACTTAGCACACCCACCACTGGCTCTGACTCGGGTCAGTTTTACAGATAAGGAGCTAAAGACTGGTGTGGTAGTAGCTGAGAGTCGTCCCCAACAGATAATCTGAGTGCTGATAGTGTTCGTTATTTTCAAGGTAAACGTCTCTGCAGCGCATTCATGACGTTTTCTGTTCTCTCCCGTGTGGTGCAGACGTCCGAGGAGAAGGAGGAGGAGGAGGAGCAGGACAAAGCGAGCCGTACCGCCAGAGTCCAACCGACTCTTCAGACCCGAGACCCCGAGAGTCCGAACGCCGACAAGAAACAGCAGCAGCTCAAACAGTAACTCGTCCTCCTGCTGCCGGAGTTTAGTTTTTCTTGGTCTGATGAAACAAAACAAGTTTATTTTTTACGTCTTCAGGTTCAAGGCTCCGGTCAGAGACGAGGAGTCCGAGTCCCAGAGGAAAGCCCGGTCTCGGCTGCTGCGTCAGTCTCGCCGATCCACTCAGGTACTTCCTCTAAGTACAGGCTAAAGTGTGACCCCCACCCCCAACGTGATCACAGCTCTTTTATCTCTTTCTGTCGACTGCCACGCTAAAAAAGACGTGTTTTACAGGAAGAGGCTGCTCTTTGTGACGAGCTGATAACTCCCGGGTTATTTTTGTACTGAAGATTTTAAAAACTGATGCAAAGAAGTTGAGAACCTGAAACCTAAACCTTGAACTTCAAAGAACTCCGTTTTATTTAAGTCACAGTTTGAAACGACTAAACTTCAGTTTATTTTAGTAGTTACAGTTCGTTTGTTTCATCTCATCACGAATGAGTCGGGTTCTTCTTGTCAAACCCGTCCAGAGGACCTGACTCAACCTTTTTAATCTACCTGGATTATGGAGCAGAATCAGGACATCACACATGATAATCTGTGATCTGATGAATATACACAACACAATACAACTTTATTTATAAAGCACTTTAAAAACAACACCGTTGGCCAAAGTGGTGTACACTGAGAACACGTAAAAACAGTCAAAACACATAAAAATAAATTAATTTAAAAATGTAAAACCAACTTATTGGGTCTATGAAATGTTCCAATATGGAGGCACCAGTGTTTTGTGATGCTATTTGCTGATGACACTCATTAATAAGACTCAATAATATATTTTAGTCGTTTTTACTTTATTTTGTTTATAGCCTTAAAGATAATTACGTAATTTAAAGATTCTCATTGTATAAAACTGTGAGCTCTAAAAATGTCACAAATCATTTAAACTCAAATCAACTTTAGTAAAACTGGAGTAATTTCCTATAAATTAACGTGTTAAAGTTTGTCGTTCTGCTGACGTGAGGTTCAGGCCTCACGGAGTGGAGAGTCCGTAAAGAAACTGTTTTTATTGCTGCTCTGTCCGGGCAGGGCGTGACGCTGACGGATGTGAAGGAGGCAGAAAAGAACGTGGGTAAAGCCGCCGAGCCGCCGCCGCCTCGGAACGTCCAGTCCGTGAGCCCCATCGTCACGGTTACGCCCGCAGAAAGGGGTGAGCTGAAATTCAGTTTTCTTTTTTAAAAAAAAAACATTAATCGCTGTCAAGAAACAGGAAAATCAATCCGGTCTCTTTTTGTAACTTGTTCTTGCAGGAGCTGTTCAGACTTGTGTGTTAGTTAAAAAATATTTTGGGTGATGCGAGTGGTCAGCCTCTGTTTGCACCTAATTTATGTTCCATCTTCCCTCGTTGTACGCAGACACGCACGAGGCTGTGACCGTGTACGTCGTGTTTCTGTAAAAACATTTTCAGTCGTCTGAACTACATCATGTTGTTACCAACGTGGTTCTGAGGCACATTTTTTACAGTGTTATCTGTTGGTGCGATTTATTACGCAACATAAAGGATTGTAGAATGACGAGTGACTTCAGAGTTGTTACGCTGCTCAGACTGTCGTCCTCTGATGACACAATATGACTCGCAGCCGGTCCAAAAACCCTCAGAGGAACTTTAAATAATAAATCCACAACAAACGTTTAATTTGAGGAGGATTTTATAAACAGTCATTCAATCTGTTAGTCAAAAACAGCTCCCCGAAACCGCTGTAGGTTCAGAATAACATCAAGACATGTGTTAAGCCCCGCCCCCTTTATGCAAACAAACAGGATATTGGCCTCGTTAAAACGTAAAAACACCTCAGATCATCTTTCAGGCATTGTTTCATTAATTCGTGTAATTTTCGTAAGTTTAGTCGTACTGTATTTTCCGCCGTACACGTATAAGTTGCATCAGTCCATATTTGTTTAATAAAGTGGATAAATCCATAAATATGTCGCATCTATTATGCGTCACCGCTGACGAGCCTGAAATGTGGACTGGTGTTGTACCAAAAATCGATTGGCTGCCAAATGGCGGCCGCAGGAGCGTGCACGGGAGGACTTTAACAAGAAACTAACTGGATTAACACTTAAAAACAGTTATTTGTTTGCTCGACTTTATAGAAAAGGTGCATCTCAGTTGAACTTTTACTTAATAAATGCGCTTTAATGGTCAAATTAGCTGCATTTCGCCGGCGGTGCAGTGAAATGAAGCTGTAAGGCTTAAAGGTTTTCTGTTGGTTTCAGACGCCGACCCGGTGAAGCCGGCCGAGTCTGAGGGAGACAAACGTCTGGGGGCAAAGGACCGGAGGAAGCAGAGGAAGGAGAGACGCTCCACCGGCATCGTTCAGCCCAGAGAGGCAAGAAACGCCGAGCAGGAAAATCTAAATGTTCTTTTACACAGTTCTGTTCGGGTTCAGAGAACCGGGCCGGGAGCGGTGCCGTGATGCAGCAGGAGACGTGACGAGTCCGTCAGCAAAGAGGAAGTTAGAGCTGATGTGTCCTGCACGGCGATCACGAGCAGCCGAACTCCGGTTGAAGGGGTTCTGTGGTTCCTGCAGATTGGCAGGATTATTTAATCTGATGATGATGAAGTAGTGAGGCTCGTCCTCTCTGTTCTGGTCCGACTGAAAAGTTCTGGTTCTGGTGTTCCAGTTGCAGTCAGACGAAACTTACTTAAAAGATTTTCTGTTTAATGTTCGTTAATATTAGTTCTGAACGTCAAGTGAAAAAAAGCTGCAAAATTAAATCCCACTTTTAACCGTCCTGCTGCCCTTGGGTCAAAACCCTCCTGCTGCCCTTGGGTCAAAACCCTCCTGCTGCCCTTGGGTCAAAATCCTCCTGCTGCCCTTGAGTCAAAATCCTCCTGCTGCCCTTGGGTCAAAACCATCCTGCTGCCCTTGGGTCAAAATCCTCCTGCTGCCTGTGGGTCAAAACCGTCCTGCTGCCCTTGGGTCAAAACCGTCCTGCTGCCCTTGGGTTAGGGTTAGGGTTAACATGGACCAGATCTCTCCCACACGTTTCAACTTTAGTTTCAGCAAAACATTAATTTTTTTAAATAAACGTTTCTTCTGTTTTATTGACGGCACAAATTATAAGTTTTAAAGAATAAATTTAGATTATTTTATTTCTGAAACTTTATTATTGTCTGTGCAGAGATGACGGTTACTAAAAGGTAAATAGTAACAGTAAATATTTATTTAAAGAGCAGTAAATATCGTCCCTGCGCTGTTCAAAACGTTTTCTTCTCATTTTAGATCAAATGTTTGTCGTTAAATCACGACTCCGTCTTCTCCGTGAAAATATTCAACAAAGAGCTGTTTTTATTTTATTTGTTCAGAAAAGGGTTAAATTTTATTTCCAGATTAATTAACAGCTTCTTCTGTTTTTGTAAAACTTCGAAAAGTAAAAACTGATTAAATCCACAAAAAGCTCGACACGTTTCCAAGTATTTAACATCGGTTCTTGTAAAGTTTAATTTATTTCAAGCTTTAAGAACATTTTCTGCAAATTTAATTAAAGTTAAAAAAAAAAGCGTTCGTTTTGATAAAATTTTGTTTTTCAGAACGACGACGCTGAAGCTCAGCCGGAAGAAACGAGCAGCAACAACTCAGAGTGAGCGTGAAAAAATATTAATCTAAAAAATATTTTTGTGAATTCTGACGTAAACGAGGCGGAAATGGACGTTTGAATCCTTTCAAAATAAGAGTTTGAACTTCTGATTTTAACGTTTGAAGCCGTTGACTATTCATTTCTCTCCTGTGGGTTCAGCGACGGTCGACTGGACGTCTCGTCCACAAACTTCAGATCGGTGAGCGACGCAGCTCGAGCGCCGTCATCGCTCGCTCCAGCTGCGGGTCGTAATAACGAGTTCCCGCCTGTTCCCGTCCAGCTGTACGTCCAGGTTCTGCAGGAGAACGTCGCTCTGAAGGAGAAGCTGCAGGAGATGGAGCTGCAGCTGAGCCAGAACAAGGTGGAGCTGGAGAGACTGAGACAGGTCTGTGTGTTAGCAAAACATCTCCATATTCAAGATGGAGTCCACAGCCAACTCGCTCAGCTTTAACGGATCTTTGTTGGAAATGCACGGCGGCGATCACCTCGGGTTGTCTGTCGGAGGAAAGCTCCTAAACTTCAACAGCATAAAAATCGACCTAAACTCCAAATAAATCACAGCCGAACCCTGAAGAGGTCGATAAGTTCAGATCACGAAGCGTTAACGCCAGGCCTGCCGCCAATAAACAATAAATCAATCGCATTATAAATTAAAATTATCAACCTCCTTCTCATTTATCGGCTTTATCGTTTCTTCGTGTGTCTCTCTTTCTACTGAAGACACTCGATGACAAAAAGTTCGACTCTGGTGCTCTTTCTCTTTTTTTCTTTAAAATCTGTTTTATCCGTCCAAAATTGCGTTTTTTGAATCGTTAAACGCAGCTAAGCTACGAGCTAAGCTAACAGGCCGACCTCAGAAAAAAACCTGTCTTGTCAAAGCTCCAAACATCACCACGGTTAAAACCCGTGTCTTCGTGTAAAAAGTTGTTTTTCTCTGCAAAAAGAAGCTGAGAACTTGTTTAATGATTTTTTTTAATGAAAAGCTTTTTGTGAAAAATGCTACGCTAAAGAGCTCAAACTACACCAAGCAGCCGCCATTTTGAGAAACGAATAAAGGAGAGACAGCCCATGTCACGTCAAGGGGCTTCCCTCCCCATTTCTCTGAACGAGACGCACTGCTCGCTCCCTCACTATCCATCCTTCTGCTCAGTCTAATACTGCCATCCGGTGGACGAAAAAATGTACTACACTCAAAAACTGACCAGAATTTCTTCTTAGATTTGACAATAATCACTAATTATTGTCAAATTTCAAACAATATTATCGTTTATCGCAATAATTTCCGAGACAATTAATCGGCCAGCAAAATTTGTTATCGTGACAGGCCTAGTTAACGCACTGAAAACTGTTTATTTACCGTAACTGCCGGTCTACACACTGCGACTTGTCCATATGGAATGATTTAATCGTTTTTGTTTTTATTTACCTGGATGATGGAGCGTACAGACTTTTTTTTTTACCGGCACGAGTCATGACTCACGGGGAGAGGGGCAACACCCCCTCCCGTTCTCTGTCGATGCGAGCGATATTTACTGTACACAGAAATATATATATATTTTTATTCTTATTTAAATATGTACTAATAACATACACAAAAATAGGCTGCGTACAGTTCTGTAAATGTTTTATTTCTGAACAATGCCTTTAACACCTGGTTTAAAAAAATTATTCAGATGGAATTTTCCGCTTGAGCGTAAGTAAAACTGTTCTGCCCGGACTGACCCAGACTGACCTGGACTGACCCAGACTGACCTGGACTGACCCGGACTGACCCAGACTGACCCGGCCTAACCCAGACTGACCTGGACTGACCCGGACTGACGGGCGGACGGACTGTGTCAGAGTTCCTGCGTCCAGGGAAAATGTTTTTCAGCGACAGGAAGCTCGGTAGCCTTTCAAAATAAAACATTAGTTATATTTTAAAACAAAAACATAAATTAGATTTATTTACAAATAATTTAGTGACTTGTTGAGCCCGTATTTTATTTTGCTGCATGTTTGTTACGAACTTTATTTAACGAGACCATTAAATGTCACCACGCTGCTGTGGGACCCGTCTATTACCTGGAGCCTGAACGGTTTCTTGTGTTTCACAGAACCAGGAGGGCGACACCGACAGGCCCGCTCTGCTCGAGCTCGAGAAGTTTGTAAGTTCTTCTTCTCTTCTTTCGCACCTTTTGTCATTTCCTGTGCGTTTACAGCGCTTCGCGAGGTCCGGTCTGGGCCCGAGGTTAAACGGCGCCACAGGTGCGGAGCTCGTGAGGCCCGCGTGTCAGAACTCGTTGTGGGTTTTACAGCGGCTTCCTGTTTCTGTTCGCAGGAGAAGTTGGCCCTCCAGAGGAAAGCGGTGGAGCTGGAGGACGAGCTGAAGGTACGACTGAATAATCGTTTAAATTTGGCCTCGGCTGAACTCCCACTCGAGTTTAATTGAGGCGTCGCTGTAAATCAGCGCCGAGAAAGAAAAACAACTTTCCAGACAGAATTTATAAATTCATCCACAGTTTGTCCAAAGCTACGGAAGCTGCAAAGGGCCATATCTACCTCTGGTATTTAGACGTGCTTTTCTTGGGTTTACCGTCCCGTTACCTGAAAATAACCAAACTAAGTTTATGTTTCGTGAATGGTTCTGGTGTTAAAACCAGTTTTTATGAGAATAGTTTGAACAAATTCAGCTTGTGTGAGTCTAAATAGATATTTTAAAGGTACTTTTTTTAAAGTGTGAAACGAAAGTTTATCCTGGACTTCATCAAACGCTTCAGTTTGAGAGACTTTAGCGTTACGTGGATATAAAATGTGAAACGCAGGTCCGCCCCTGGTGTAAACAAAGCACTGCTGGTTTTGTCATATGATAAAACTATTTATATATTTTGGATGACATCACTCCAATGAACATCGGGTTTTAAAGCCGGTGCTCGTAAACAAAGCTAGCATGTTGCCAGGCGGATAAACGGCTGGTAAGGACGGCTGTCGAGCTCCTCGTCGACCTGTTTTCAGTCACTTCCTGTTTCCGCAGGTGAACAAACACGTGGTAGTTGGCATCACGACACATCGACCATCGATCTGAGAGAAAAAAAAAACTTATTTCACGAGTTTTTTTTGTTTGATCTTCACGTTTTATGGAGGAAGAAGTTTCTCCAGATTTGACGTCCCATCAATCTGTTGCAGCTCAAATACGTTTATTTAAAAACTCCTAAACGTGTCGGACGTGTTCTGGAACAGGAAGTCTTGACAGAAGAGGACACGAATCACTGTTTGTTTGTTTGTTTGTTTGTAGGTTGTGGGGGAGCTCAGAGCGGACAACCAGAGGCTGAAAGACGAGAACGCCGCTCTGATCCGAGTCATCAGCAAACTGTCGAGGTGAACCTGAAGACCGGACGAGACTGAACGTATTAAAGGATAAATCTGTCGTCCGCCTCCGAGGACACGAACCACTAACGGCAGGCGCAGCTCGTTTCAGGGTCGCCGTCCGTCCGGGCCCGTTTTTAATTCGAATACTTTTGATGTTGTTTGGCAGATCTACTGTAAAACCTGCTGCGGGCCGTCGGCATCGACTTTTATATCGAGTTTTTACTGTTTTATAACTGGAATATTCGCTTCGCTTCAGTTTAAATCTTTAAGGGACTTAAAGCCACGCACAGCTGTAAAACATGGAGGAGTAAAAAGAAAAGGGCCAGTTGGGTTGATCATAAACACAATTTAAATGTGCCAAATATATATATCTATATATATATATATATATATATATATATATATATATATATAATCTCCCAGTTTGCACATTGTAAGAAGTGGGCAGTATTTAGTTTCTCAGGATGTCTTTAACCGATGGACCAAACCGCCGTGATCCTCCGAACGTTGATCGGGCTCCCATGAGGCGTTCAGGGTCTGTCGTTACAGACGAAGACGTCAGCCTAAATGTTACATATGTTTGATTCAGGAGGACTTCAATACGAGTTTATTTACCGTGTTGTTAACGTATTCACCGTGACGAACGGCCCAGCGGGTCGACCTCTGAATGTTTACTTCAAGTACCGCATGTCAAACTGTATTTTGATGCCGTGCCTTTTGTAAAGTAATATTTCTATTTTGCTTTGGCAGCGTTTACTGTTGAGTATGAAATACAAGATGGGCATGTCCGTTTGTTTTGTAGCTCATTTTATTTACCAGAATGAGAAAACGATCCATTTGAAACGTTGGCTGATTTATTGGATCTTTCATTTTGCCGATGGTCATTATCCCTGCCAACGTGTTAAACTTTATTTTTAATATCGGACTACCTGAACTCTAAACTTGGTTCTTCATCTGGACAGCGACTCGACTGACTGAAGGACACCGAGGTCCGATCCTCCTTTAGTGAGGGAAGGTCCGGTTAACCCAAAAGTGACCCGTGGACAATCTCCATCAGGCCTCTAATATCCTTAGTTTAAAAAAAAACCTTTTAAATGAATTGAATTAAAAAAGTAGACTTAAGGAAATTTAAACATCTTGCGCAAAACTTAAAAAAAAAAAACAATTTTTTAAGTCGTGTTTCCAGAACTAGACAGAATCTTAAAGACTTAGAAACACAAATATGTTTGTTTTGCATAGTCCCGCTAACATTAACATGTTAAGCTAACGTGTTCTGTAGTCACAAGAACCAGTTTACAGAACGTCTTGTGTCCCTAAATGATTTGGTAAAGACTTGTTTTATAAAGCACGCCAACTACGCTACGATAAGATAAAGATCTTTGAGATTATCTGTCGTAGAAAATTTATTTTCCAAATTCTCTTTAAACGTCTTGATGTGGCCCTTTGGTAAAAGACGTTGCACCTCTGCACCGTCTCAAATATGGCCAGACTGTTTAACCTAAAACAAGAACTGGACTCTTAGTTCACGCTCAATCATCCAGGTACAAAATCCAATAATGCTCAGTCAGATCATCTGGACAGTTTATTTTTTTGGAGACATTTCGCCCTCTTATCCAGAGGGCTTCATCAGTCTGAGGAGTCCCAAGTAAACCGTTTTCCCCACTAAGCAGTACAGTCCTTAGTGGACCAACCAGTTAGCTGGCGATAAGATGGTTTCTGGGGGCCGTCCTGTCGACTCCTCGCAGCCACAGCCAAAGTGGTTCAAGACATCAAATTGCATGCTCAATCATCCAGGTACAAAATCCAATAATGGTCAGTCAGATCATCTGAACAGTGTCTTTTTGAAAGACGTTGCACCCTCTTATCCAGAGGGCTTCATCAGTCTGAGGGTCTGGTTGGTCGACTAAAGGATTTTGCTGCTTAGTGCGGAAACTAGAAGAATCAGTGAAAATGTGCAGGAAGTCCTGAAGAAACCACGAGGTCAGAGGCAAAGTTGAGCAAAATCTTTATTGATGGAGAAGATGACGGAACAACCCCACCAGCACGCCGACGTTTTCAACTGAGCGGCGTTCAGGAATGTGGAGCGGGAACACGTGGTTCTGACGGTCCAGATGTTCTGGTCTACAGTACGAGCCGGGTTTAGTGTCGCCTGATCCTCGTGGACTCGGCGGGTCAGTCATTTTTTCTTTCAGCGGGTGAAACCAGACACCATCTAGGTCTCCTTCAGCAGCAGACGGTGCCTGGCTCCTCCTCCTCCTCCTCTGCGGGCTACACAGTCTGAAGGGTGACGATGTACAATAAGGCAAACGACAAATAAAAAAACTGCAAACGTTGGTTTTGGTGCTAAGGCCTCATGGCTAAAAGAAGCAGAAGAGCCAATACTGGATTAATGTTGATCACTAATTCTGAACATTCAGACCCCCCAATCAGGTTTTTAAAAGTGTGTGGGGGTGGGGGGGGGGGGGCTGCACTCAGGTCTAATCCAACAGGACCAGATCGTGGATGCTGCTCATAAAGACACATCGATAAGTTTAAACATAAGGCTGCGATTTTTAATACCAACACAGTCCTGTTCACTCTGGCCCCACCCCTATTTAAGTGGGCGGGGCTACAGAGCAGCTCTGATGGACTTGACAAGGCAGGTATTGGTTTTATCAAAAGCTGGGGGGGGGGGGCATCAGGTTAGCTATGAACAGCTGATTAGGGTGAGATAAGGTCACAACTGCTGAAACATTTATATAGAAAAGGCAAAGAAACGCTGATTGTACAGTTGCTTTTCCTCGTGTAACTGAGGAAGACACCGTTGGAGGTGGTGGGGGGGTAATCTCTTCAAGCAGCAGGAGGAGTAGAGGGAGCGAGGAGGTGCTACATAGCAGGTCGGGGAACAGGACAGACGCTGTGCAGGTAGGATGGTGATGGACGGATGTTAAGGTGGGGGAGGGGTTACATAAGACAGATGAGAACAAAAAGGCAGAAATGGTGGACACAGGATGGGGGGGGGGGGACAGGCCTCCTTCAGTCGTCCCAGTCTTTTTTGATGTTCAGGTTCCACTCCCAGGACAGGTGGTCGTGTTTGTCGTCGTCGGTGAATTTGGACTTGATGACGTAGTTCCCGCGGGCGAGCATGCCTTTGGGTGCCTCCTCCGTCGTGGTCAGGAAGTCGTACTCGGCGGGGCGGGGCCCGTAGCTGCCGACCATGTAGTCCGATTTATCGACTGGCAACGAGACAGAAACAGGCGAACGGGTCAGTTCCATCAGTAACTTATGGAGGTGACGGCGAGTTTGATTAGAGACTTTTTGCGTTGCACTGTTTTACCTGGGTCTGTTACCATGGCAACCCAAACAGGAAGCAGCTCAAGTTTCTAAGACCATACGTGTCGACACGCACAGCCTCAAATCCGCTTCATATGCAAAGACTTTCAAAACCATGAACAGGTTCAATCCATCACGTTTTAATAAAACTCGTTTAATTAAAAACAGATACTTTAGAGGAGTTGAAATAATAAGATTGACCTTTGACCTATAAAAACATTCACAACAGTCTTTATGACCGTCTGTAACACGATGCTTCAATTATCTCAGCCTGAGATGATCTTAAAGGAGCTGAACAGTGAATGTTTGTAGTTTTTCAGGTGAGTGTTTTTCTGCACTGGAACTGAACAAACTAAAGTAAACCTAAATGTTTTTGGTGTCAGATGTTCAAGTGGGCAGGAGTTACAATGTAGAATAGAGGTGGGTGTTTGTTTTTTTCTTCCAAGGCGGCGCAGAGTGACGAGGTGAGAGGAGCCGGTTTATCAAAACCAGTTGCGGGGGGGGTAATTTCTGTTGATGGGATGCCCCATTTGTATAATGGACCGTGTCTGTTCATATGTGCTGTGTTAGCAAAATATCTAGAGACAGATTTTAATGAAACAAAGTTAAAATGTTATGAGAAAGTTTTAGCCGGTGCTCAATCTGCCAAATTAACTGACTTAGTGTTCGTTAAGGTCAGGCGGCTGTGGCGGCCATCTTGAATGGGGTTGACTACAAAAGTTTTTCCAGAGTTTCATTCAAACCCGTCCATTGGTTCAGGAGATGTTTTGCTAACAGGACTAATGAGCGAGTCAGAAGCGTTTCCTCCCGACGTCACCGTGTTTTTGTCAGAAGTTCGTCACTCACTTTTCATTCCTTTCCTGAACGTCTGCTGAACGTACTTCAGGCCCGAAACGATCTCCTTGTTCACCTGACGACAAACAAAACAACAAATTTAATGTTTTAAACAAGTTAAAGTCACGAACTTTAGTAAATCAACGGCTTTTATCAGATGTGTTTCAAGCTAAAATGGTTTTGTGGACATTAAAAACGTAATTTTCAGGGGGTTTCAGGTTTGTAAAATATATTTAGTCATTTCATGTAAACAACATGTTATTGATTTTAAATTAAAAACATCTGGTCCGTGCAGGGTCGTCCACAGCTGCTTTGACTAAAACATCTGCTCTGAAAACATGGCCAGTGTCTCGTGTTGACCGTTTTGTATTAAATGAAAAATATTTTTAAAGATAAAGACATCGGCCTCACCTTAAAGCTGATCTTTATTTTATATTCTACGCCCTCTTTCAGAACAAACGCCTGCTTTTTAAAAGCTTCCAGGTCTCCTGTTGGAAAAAACAAACATGTAAATCAGTTAAGAGTGAAAAACACAAACGAATGACTGCGCCCTGTCCGCTTCATGGAAACAAACGGGGTCATCGAGACAAATACAGTCAGAAATAATGAAGTCTGGGTTTTACCCCAAAGTCAGTTTTTATTTTTCTGAATTTTATATTTTAGGCGCCAATAAATTTATAATTTGAATTTGGTGCGATCCTGCTGGATTTGACTCGCGTCGTCACGTTGGGATGTGAAAGGTTCTGTGGAAAAAAGCCCGCGGACCAGATTCTGAGCGTCACTTTTTGTTTCCACAACAAACCGAAGTCACTAAAACCGACTGAAACCCTGCGGAGCTTTTTAAAACAACTCATGAAAATCTGTTTGGAAACGAGACGAAGAGCGGATCAGAACTCTTCACAGGGCTGTGAGCGAGACGACTTACTGGACCAGAACTCTCCCTGGTGGAGAAAATTTAAAATAAAAGTACGGCTGAGTTCTGGACGGTTCTGAACCAGTTTCCAAACGTCAGGAACCGATTCTGTGACTGCGCTGAGGAGTCGTTGCTGTTCCGTTTGTCCCAGTGGAGTTGCCGTAGTAGAAACGCGTCGCAGTAAAGTTGTTTTACTTTTCTCCTCTGAACCCAGAAGAACCTCCGGCTGAAAAAACAGCGGAACCGATCCGAACACGAGCGATGACTCGAACATCTGACCTGAGGAGAAATGTCCATGATGCTAACAGATTAGCTTTGTTATGGTTAGCATCTGCGCTAACTGCTGGAGATTACCAGATTATTTATCAGACATGAAAGATATAAATCTGTTGACGGAAACAAAGTCGTTTAAATGTTCGATTCTGTTTTCGTTTCAGTTTTGGATAAACGAGTTCATCAGCTCCTGCTGTTTGATCACAAACCTGACGAACTACTGATCTACATGAACCAATAATCCTTTAATCTGTCATTAAAACATAATCTGACCATGAGGTGAACAGGTTCATTTCTACCTGAAGTGAACCTGAACATAATCATTTTTTTAAGTTTTCTAAATTTCTTAAACAGAAGAAAACAAATAAATAAATAAAAACCTGTCTTCCGTGCAGCTTCCTGAATCACTTTCAAAATAAAAGCAAACGTGTCGCCAAAAATTCAAACACAGATCTGTTGGTGCTCTGAGAATGTTTTGGGGATCACTCTCAGCTACTACCACACCACATTGTAACTCCATTTATCAGAAACCAACTGAGCTGGAGACTTTTTTAAAGCTGCTTCATATCGATTAGCTGCGGCGGCCATTTAAAAAAAGGCTCCACCGTTGTTTTACAGATGTGGAGCTAAAACTGAGCGTGATCGTAGCTGAGAGTCATTCCCAGCAGATACTCTGAGGGCTGCACAGCTGTCAGCGAATAGCAGTAACCACTGTTAGCAAAATATCTCATGAAGCACTGAACAGATTTTATTGAAACTCTCGGGAAGTATTTATTTGTCGGACGTCTACAACCGATTACTTTTCAAGTTGAAACAAATCAAGATGGCCGCCACAGCCAATCAACTTCACCCAACAATAAACAAACGTATTGACCAGATTTGTCCATAAAGACTTTGTTTACCATCGTGAGACGATCTCTGGTATGAAAGGTGGCGGGTGATACTCCTTTATTTAATTATGGCTTTTAATTTGAAATGTTTTTATTTTCACTAATTATTCAACAACAAAGTTTATTTTTTAAAGTCTCTCTGGATTCAAACCGTTGTGCAAACTTAACCACAGAGCTGGCAACAATCAGCCCCTGGAGGTTCTGGACCCGAGCGAACCAGAACCGCTGTGGGTCCTCGGTGACGCTCAGCGGTTCAGTTTCTGAGCCGCGGGACAGAAACAGGAAGTCTTATTAAATTTTTACTGAAATAACACGATTAAACGTTTACGTCCGGAACCAAAACCGAATGACGTGGCTGAACTCCGGAGGGACGTCTGAAAAGACTGCGCTGGAGGACGGATCTCTGCAGCGCTGGACCGGACACAGGATGAGACCAGAGCGGGTCTCGGGGGACCCTCTCTTCTGGTTTTCCCACTCAGACCCAAAGCCCGGTTCTACTGAAACATGTGGCTGCGCTCAGGCTGATGCACAAACAGGAACAAACTGTCAGGGATGTGTCAGGATGTGCAGCAGAACCGCTGCCATGGTCCTGCAGAACCTCACTGACCTACACAAGGCGAGGCCAGGCTGATTCTGGCAGATCCTGATCATCCACTCCATGGTGAGATCAGGTTGTTTTCATGTGATGTGCAACAAACAGACTGGAAAACTCTGAAGAACTGGACTCACCCTGCAGGTCCAGGACCAGAGGTTTCGGTGCTCCGTCACAGACGAGCGCCATCTGGGTCACCTGGACGTTGGGAGCGCTCGGATCTGAGACAAAAAAGAGAAAACACGAATCGTTTCAAGGTGAACAGAATCAGAACCGCTCTCCACCGGCGAGGCACAAAATATGAAAAACTTCTCGACGTTAAACGTTTTGATTTGTAACTCAGGATTTAAGAATCAAAGTTCACTTTAAGAAACGCGACGCGTTGACCAGGCGGAGTCGCAAACAGAAGAAAAGTGGCCGAAACGCGCCGACATGAAATAAAAACAGCTAAAGACGTAAGAGGAAAAGCTAAAATCTGCAGCTGTGCTCAGCGTTTCCTGAAATCAAAACTCCATCATGAATTAAAAGTTGTTTATTTTTATGTCGGAGAGAAGCTGCCGGGTCATCGACCCGTTTAAAACAGAAAGAATAAAAATGTTTTTAAAACTCGTCCAGATGTGGCGTTTCCTATTTCAACAAATCCTAAATCAAAACGTTCAGCTCTTTCAGGACAATCCTGCTGTGACTTTTGGTGTTGATGCAACTTTAGCTTTTTGAAATATTTAGCCTTTTCTGCCGTTTTATTCTCAGAAAATGAATCGAGTTCATTTTCCATTCTTCAAATCTTTAGACGTGTTTACAACCTTTTACTGCTCCTTTCACATTTTGTTCTGCTTCAGCTTCTTTCTGCAAATTTAAACTTTTTTCAGCTACTTTCAACTGTTTTGTGCTTCTTTAAGACTCTTTCCGTTAACTACAACATTTTTGTGCATCTTCTAACTTCTTTCTGATAATTTCAGCTTGCTATGCTCCTTTTAGCTTATTTCTACAAGTTTCAGTTATTTCAGCTACTATTTAGCTGTTTTATGCTAATTTTAGTTTTTTAAGCCAATTCCACATTTTATACACTCATTTCAACTTTTTCAACCTAATTCAGCTAAAATGTGCTCTCCACTTCCTTCTGGTAATTTAAGCTTCTTTCTGCTTTTTAGCTACTTTTCAGCTGTTTTTGCTTATTTCAGCTTTTTCTCAGATAATTTCCACTTTTTTGTGCTCATTTCTGCTTCTTTCAGCCTAATTAACTTCTTTATGCTAATTTCAGCTTGTTATGAACCTTTCAGCTTTTTTCTGCTCTTTTAGCTACAGTTTAGCCGTTTTGATGCTTCTTTTAGCCTTTTCAGGTAATTTCACATTTTTTGAGCTCCTTCCACCTCCTGGTAGTTAAAGCTTCTTTTTGCCCTTACAGCTACTTTTCAGCCTTTTGTTTTTTGTTGTTGCTAATTTTGTGCTCATTTCTGTTTATTTAAATCTCATTCAGCAAATATGTGTTCTTTCTTCTTTCTTCTACTAAATTAGGCTTGTTCTTCCATTTCAGCTACATTTCAGAATGTTTTTTTACCTAATTTCAGCTGTTTTTCTTCAAGTTCTTCTGCAATAAGCATTCACACTGCTTTTTCACAGGAAATGCAGTTTCTCTAGTTAAAGATTAATTTTACGAGTATTTGATCCCTCCTTTGTTTCAGTTTGTTGTCGGCTGCTTTGAGTTTATTGCTTAAACACACGGCTGTAGAATATATTTATTGTTTTTAAAACACTCGTAATATTTATGAAATGTTTTAGTTGGTTTAGATTTTAGACTTTTATTATTGCAGGGTGCGATGGAGGGCATTTCCTGGCTACTTAAAAATATTATTAATTAATAGTTTTGTCAATAAGTAACTTAATCTCACCCTGAAATAAACAAAATTAATAAAAAAAACATTAAATTTAAAGGATTTTCAACAGTCTGGAGTTTTGGGAAGATCCCCACACAACCCTGTTCTCAGCCGGACTCTGTCAGTTTTATTATTTTTATTTTTAAGTCTTTCTCATGCACAACCCCGTGTTTATTTATTTATTTTTTATCTTTTACTACAGAACGAAGGGGCTCCAGCAGCCCAGTCCATCTGGAAACGTGTCCGGCTGCACGTGGATCGACTGTTTTCTACCAAACGTCGACTCGTGCACGACACAGGTGTTTCTGCTCGTTACCTGAGAGCTGGAGCGGTTCTGTCAGTCAGGAAACAAGTGGACTCGTTAAAAGTCGAGTAGAGAGATAAAGGTCAAAAACAACATGCAACTAAAAAGAAATGTTACTATTAATTATATAATATAAATAATAATTGTGTATTAATATATTACATACGGAATATACATTACTATTATTAATTACTACCTCATTAAAAACATGTGTTTACTAACACCTGAGAAGACGTGGATGTTTATGAATAAATTATATGAATTAAAATTGATTCGTACATTAAAGAAACATCTGCGGTAAAAACAGAATTTAAACTTCTGAAGAAATAATCCGTTTTATAAAGATGACAAAAACTGAGCCAAATAACTGAAATCCACTTTTTTATCTTGACAGTGACGAAACCACAACACACACACACATACACACACACACACACACACACACACACACACATTACCGGCCTCGGCGACCCCCGGGCCGAGCAGGGCCTCTTTGTATTTGCGTAAGCTCTCGTCGTCCTTGTCCAGCTCGTGGATCTCCTTCACCGACTTCTGGGCTGGAGGTTTGTAGTCGACGGGTTCTGGCTCCTCGTTTTCTGCGGCGATGGCTGCGAGCTGCTCTGGAGTCACCTCATCCTCAGCCATGTCTGTGGGGGGGGGGGGCAGAGGTTCAATTCAGAACCACAGACACACAAGTAGACAGAAACCTTAGAGACGGTGGACCACTGGACTTTCAGCTGCTCCGAGTGCCTCGGCTCCACCAGGTTTAAATATTTATAATCTGTAGAAATTATGCTGCCGCAACAAAATTAAGGGATTTAAATTATCCGCCAGAAAACAAAACACAATATAATTAAATTATAATTGTATCACCTGACCTGTCCAAACAGGTGAATGCAAGGAGCTGCAGCGCGTGACCGGACAGAACCAAACCCGGCTCAGAACCTGCTCGTTGCTCTTCATGAAGAGTTCATACCAATGCAGACACTTTAAAGACACGTCTCTGAAGTTCTGTGACCCGTTGGACCTCAGACGTCACTCATCCAAAACTAAAACAGCTTCAGAGGAGGACGAGTCACCTAAAATACTTCTGTCATTTTATTACAAGCTTGTCTGATCTAAAAATACCTCAGATGTTTAATTTATTCACATTTCAAGAGCCCAAACTGATATGGAGGCGGACAGATGGTACCGGGACAGTACCGGTTCTGGAACCGTTCCTCCTTTAACTTGAACAGAAAACCTTCTTGAGCTGCGAGCGTCTCAGAATTAACGATTTCTGACTGGTCTGAATTCATCTAATTAATCCAGTTTTGATCGTCGGTCCAGATGAATATTAAAACACTGCGTCATGTGGACAGAGATCAGTAATCCATCGCCCCGCCCCTTGTGGAAACAACTGCCCCGCCCCCTGTGGAAACAACTGCCCCGCCCCCTGTGGAAACAACTGACCGACCTCTGAACAGAGGAAACCACACACGTCCGCCTCTCAAACAGGAAGTGTCCAGGATGTTCGGATCCAATTGTGTTTTGTTGGTTATTGTTTACTGTTGGGCTGTTTGTGTTGTTCTGGGGTAAACAACATCAGAACCAAACCGGACTCCTTCAGCGCTGATTATAGGAGGTGGCAACACCTTGAATATTATAAAGCTGCTTTCTGAAGAGCAGAAAGGAACTCGATTGTGTCAAATTTAACGCAGGAGTACGACATCCTCCTGGTTCCTCTCAGGCCCGCGGGCACAAAACTGTAGCTAAAAGCCAAAAGTCACAGAACAGTAACTAAAAGCCAAAAGTTACAGAACAGTAGCTAAAAGCTAAAAGTTACAGAACAGTAGCTAAAAGTCAAGTCACAGAACTGTAGCTAAAAGCTAAAAGTTACAGAACAGTAGCTAAAAGTCACAGAACTGTAGCTAAAAGCTAAGTCACAGAACAGTAGCTAAAAGTCACAGAACAGTAGCTAAAAGTCACAGAACAGTAGCTAAAAGCTACAGAACGGTAACTAAAAGCTAAACGTCACAACACAGAAGCTAAAAGTAAAGCCCCACCTGGAAACATTCATTTTAAAGCACCTCAGGCAATAAATGTTGTGTTTTTATTTTTATTTAACTCTTGTCCCTTTATAAATAAAGATCTCTTGTTGTGGGTTAAATTTTGGAATTACGGCTGAATTACATTAAAGTTCTAACATTTTCCACTTTAAACAATAAAAGTTCAAAATGTTCTGAAAGGTTTAATACTAATAAAATCCTAAAATTATTAATCCTAATTATGAAATATATTATTTCTTTACGAGGGTGTGTGTGAATCCTTTTAATTACTTTGTCAGTACAGTATTTATATGTGAGCATTTAGTGGAAATATCTGGTTATTTTTTTATTGTTTACAACCAAACTCCAGTTAAAAATTATATTTATATATCTTTCTACTTAAATCTGTTCTTCCTGAAAAACTTTATAGGACCAGATAATCTGACGCCCAGAGAGTTTGTCACATTTAGTCCTGATCCGACAAAGAAACAACTAAAAATCTTCATGCTTTGCTCAATAAATTAAAATAATAATAATCAATAATTGTTATATTCTCCGTTAATTTTTATATCTTGTGTATATTCCTTTGTGCTGAAACTCTGGCACAACAATTTCCTGCGGGATCAATAAAGTTCCATCTTATCCAACTGGAAACGCACCATCCAACAGTTGTAAATAGCTCAATAATAAACTGAAATGTTGCCCTTTTTACCCTTAACACATTTTTACTGAGTGATGAGTTTGTCGAGATCCTGACATCAGCACAGATGAAACTGTAAACAAGAGCAACACAAACTGACTTCTTTAAACACAAACCGGTTAAGAAACAGAGTTAAACTGCAGCAACTCTACAACACATGTCAAGATTAAACGTTTCAAACGAACAGTTTATTTTGCACTTTTGTGTGGGGCTGAATTTTCCAAGGCGTGGTCCACTTTTAACAGGGTGGGACTGGGAGGAAGGAGCGCATCTGTAGCCTCTCAGACTGGAACAATGCTAGCCGGAGCTAACGGCTAGCATCGTTAGCCTGACAAGTTATCAACTGACAGAGCGCGAGCGCTGTGGGAGCGGACTCGGTCCTGCGCGCGGGGCACGTTCAGTCCATGAAGAGTGTTATCGAGTCTTTATGAACCCGAGAGGACTCACCTGAAGTGCTAAAAGCTGCTGTGGTTTCAGGAGCCTCTGCAAAACGTGCGTTTGTTCCTCCACACTCGGAGCCAGTATGGCGAACAAGGGAGCGGCGCCGCCCCGTTCGCGCGACATTCGGCCAAAAACACTGGAACGCGCATGTCGCGCGTAAATGACGTAGAACTTATGCGCCACTGTTCAGCTTTCTTTTTGTCTTTTCATTTTCTTTTTATGCCACACTTCAAGTTATTCCGAAAACAAATTAAAAGCTATTTAAAACTAAACGATGTTTCATTATGTATGATTTAATTATAAAATAACCAGGTTAACAACAGGCTAACAAAAATTGGCCTACAAAGCAGCCCCTACTTTGGCCTTCGCCCCCCCCCCCCCCACCCCTACATTTCACCTATACTATTAGTTTTTAAATTACGTTTTCAAAATATAAATTGAAAACCATCTAATTTAACAAACACTCGACTCTGAAATTAAAAAAGTAGTTATTTCTAATAAAAATTCCCCCTTTTTTCATTCTAACATTGTTAATGTTCAGAAATGTCAAATGCTTTTTCTTTTTATATTATTAACTAATTGTTTCCTTTAAGAACCTAATTCTCAGAAATAAAATCTTATTTTTGTTCCCATCAGATTTATAGCTAGTCACTTTAATTCTTAAAATAATACAACATATTTACGTACAGCTCAGAACAATAGCCAGCCGATCAGTTTACTAAAACTCTTCAGAGTCCTAAATAAGTTTACAACTTTTACCATTTGTTTGACGGAGACGAGCAGGTGTGTAAATAAAAAACAAGTTTGATTTTAACACGTTTATTTACAAAACTCAGTTCAACAAATAAACCATAAGTGACAGAGTTGATTTACATCCACATTTATTGTTACAGTAAACAGCCGTTCACAGAGTCAGGTGTTCATCATTAAAAATAATAATTTCAATGAAAGCTTAAAGGGATTTGCTGTTCATTTAAATAAAATAAAAAAAATCTCAAAAATAAAATTACCCCTAAAAAAAACAAAACTAAAATTGGCTGAAAATGTTTTCAACAAATAAGTTTCTACATAGAATAAAAATGAGGCAGTAATCTTGGGAATGCTTTTAACTGGTGTCCATCTGAAACTGAAAGTGAAATCTGACGTTAGAGAAGAGCTCAGAGAGAAGTCGAAACTCTGGCAGAACCAGAAGCCGGGTACCTTAGCGTTGTAAGCGTCCAACTGAGCGTCCAGCTCCTCCGCAGAAAGCTGGGGTTTGTTTCCACCTCCCCTCCCTCGACCCCTGAAACCTCCACCCTGCCTCCGTTCAAACCGGGGCTGACCCAGTCTGCTCCGGTCGAAGCCACTGCGTGAACTGCTAAAAGAATTCAGAAACACTTTGTATATTTGTCCACCGTTTAACCACAATCACTCAGTTTACTCATGTGGACTCACCTCTGTGTGCTGACTTCTGCGGTTACCTGTTGGATTTTCATGGGATGACCTAAAATAAAGATTTTTGTTTTGTTTTACGTTTTTCTAGAAACTTGTTCAACTTTTACGATTGTTACAGGAGAACCGTAGGCTCACCATCAAGCGGAACACCATTATAGTGCTTCATGGCTTTAAGAGCATCTGCCTTATTTACAAAATGGACATCAGCGGTTCCTTTACTGCGACCCGACCGGTCATAGTGAATAGACGCCGTCTTCAAATCACCAAACTCTGAGAACAGCTCCTGGAAAGCAGAACAGTTCAGAGGCGTAAGCAGATTATGGTGTGAGGAAAAACGGGGTTTGACAAAGATTTTTTAAAATTACCTTAATGTCTGAATCAGAAACGCCAAAGTCCAGATTAGAAACCAGAAGCTTGCCGGTATTTTCTACACCTCTGTCAGCAGCTACTGATGATGCTGCGCCGCGTCCACTGTCGTGCTCCTCAAACATGTCGTGCTGCCATTTGTCTGGCAGCTCTCTGGGCTGAGGCAGGAGCAGAAAATAAAAGATATTATCAGCTGATCATCAGGAAATAAATTAATAAATATGAGCATTTAGGCCCAAGACAAGAAGAATGTAGAAGGAATCTAAGAAAAGTAAGAAACACTGAATAAAGTGTTCAGGGTTTTAGGTTTTATACCAGCTTTAACCAACCACAGGACTAGTCCTGTACAGTGCAATAAATAAACAAATATCCTCCTTTAAAAACTATGTCCAAGGACCGAGTTTGCAAATTGCAATGTTAATCACACATAATCTTAATTCATTTTAAAAAGCGTTAGATTTATTGACAAAGTACATCCATTACAATCCAATCCATTTCATTTCAGTGAAAATAGATTTCATGATCATAAATAAAATGCTCATTTGTAAAAAGCTGTCTAGAGGAAACCAACACTGACATCATCAATATGGCAGAGTACTGAATGTGCTGCCGTTATGAAGATACTCGATCTGTAAAACTATGCCTGACTCAAGTTATTTGACTGGATTTCACCACGTTACCGAGGACTGAAGCTTCTGCAAAGAATCAGAGGTTAGAGGTCTACAATTAGATGTGTTAGTGCAATGTAAGCAGAAATACAAAACTATGCAGGTATATAAAATACACCTCAATGCACAGAAATCAAAGTACTGTCAGTGACGTTATGCACAAGTTCTACAGATATTATTATTTACGGTTTTAAAATCAATTCAGTTTATTTATACAGCCAAGTCCCAAAAGAAGTTATCTCAGGGCACTGAATGCACTGGTGCAGCAGCAACAACCTGGAACTCAATGCCCAGAAGACAGTGGAGATGATTGTGGATTTCAGGAAAGCCACAGCCCCTCTGACCCCCCTCACCTGTAATGATACCCCCATCACCACTGCAAACTCTTATCGGTTCCTCGGCACCACCATCACCCAGGACCTCAAGTGGGAGCCGACCATCAGCTCCCTCATCAAGAAGGCCCAGCAGACTGTACTTCCTGCGACAGCTGAAGAAGGCCAAGCTGCCGGCCAAGCTGATGGTGCAGTTCTACACGGCCATCATCGAGTCCATCCTCAGCTCCTCCATCACGGTGTGGTACGCCGGGGCCACTGCCAGGGACAGACTCAGACTGCAGCGCATTGTGCGCTCAGCTGAGAAGGTGATCGGCTGCAGCCTTCCATCCCTCCACGACCTGTACGTCTCCAGGACTGTGAGGCGAGCAGGTCGGATCACAGCTGACCCTGCTCACCCTGCACACGGTCTGTTTGAACCACTCCCCTCAGGCAGGAGGCTTCGGTCTATTCGGACCAGAACCTCCCGCCATAAGAACAGTTTCTTCCCCTCTGCTGTTGGACTCCTGAACACTCATAATGCTACCTCATAATGTCTGCTTTGGTCACATCACATCTGTATTATAACTGAATACTCCATCTGTACTGTTCTCTAAGCTTTTTTATTGTTTTCTATTGTATGGGTGTACACGTTTATGTTATGTTTTTAATTTTACTTTATTTGTGGGTGTACACAGGTCTTATGTCTTATGTAATGTTCTCATTTTTACTTTATTTTACTTTATTACTATTCGCACCTTATGTCGAAGCAAATTCCTAGTTTGTGAACCTCGTTCATTGACATGGCGATAATTGATTCTGAATAAAAACATTCACATACATTAAATGCCAATTAGAAAAGTTTTCTATCTAAGGAAGGAGATGAACTAAGGATTAGTGTCAATCAGTTTCATTTAATAAAATAAATATTACCGTATGTGACAAAATGTGCAGCACAAACTCTGGTTTAACCAGGTCAGCCAGATGTTCCTCTGATTTTTGAGCAACTTCCTCTCAACTTGTGATAAAATGAAAGTCTTCCTCGCCGTCTAACCGACTGTGGCAGGCATTTTAACAGCATTTCAACAGCATTTCAACAGAAAAACTGAAACGGGTCACGCTTTTGTTTTAACCTGTCTCCAGCATGGTCGACTTCCGGTTTGATTACGTCACCTGAACGAAAACCTTAAAAGCTTGAGTTTTACAAGTCTATACCGTTTAAATGTCGTTGCTTTAGAAAACTACCATCCAATGCCTCAATTTTGGTGATTTTTTGGTTTAATTCTTTGTCAATTTAGTGCTTCTTTCTCCGATTTCTTCACTTAATGCTTCTATAAAAGTTATCAACAAGCTCGAGGACAAAATGGAGACAGGAACTACTTTTGCCTTTAACAGTCGTACTTCCTCCTAGTTATCGTCTGCTCGGTGTGTTTTTGATCTTACCCGGGTGTACGGAGCGGGTCTGCTGTTCCGGTCTCGGCTGAAGTTCTGTGGGTTCCGCGCCGACTGCCTCGACGATCCGCCGGCTCGGCCTGAACCTCCACCCCGCCTGGACCCTCCGCCGCGGCCTTCCTTCTTGTTCATTCGGATAATGTCGTCCAGAGACATGCTCATCTTGTCCGCCATGATGTCGTTCAGACCGTTATAAACCGATAATGAAGATGGGAAAAAATAAAAATATAATAAAGACGAATTTCTGACTTAAACGGCCACTAATCGGTGAACGTTGGCGCGGTTGAAATGAACGGAAAATGCGTCACGAGTTCTTCTTCTGTGTTTTCATAAAGGTAAACAACGTGTTGGCGCCACCTGCTGGACATGTAGAGAACGACGGCTGTTTTAATAAAATTGTTTTTTGTCCCAGACAAAAAAAGCAACAATGTTTAGGTTTTTTTTAACCCGTGCTGCTGTTCTGCCAATATGTTAGTAAAATATCTCCTTAACAATTACGCTTCAATTACTGATAAAATTTTAGACAACCAGATTCAAGATGGCTGATGCAGCCTACTGACAAGCCAAAACAGAAGTGGTTACAACTCAGTCACTTTTACAGATATTGAGCTAAAATTTGGTCTGGTAGTAACAGAGTAATCCTCATTAAAAACTATGAGATTTTAGATTACCAGATAACGGAAAGGACAACATTTAACAATATTCATATTCAAAAAGGGGGACCGTGGATTGTGTTCCAACTATTGGGGTATCCCGCTCTTAAGCCTCCATGGTAAGGTTTATTTGGGGGTTCTGAAAAACTCATTTTGGCTGCTTGTATCTGAGATCTCATTCTTTCAGTCACAACCCAAAGCTCGTGACCATAGATGAGGTTAGGATGCCTCCAGGACGCCTCTCTGGTGAGGTGTTCTGGACACGTCCCACCGGGAGGAGACCCAGAGGAAGACCCAGGACACGCTGGAGGGACTATGTTTCTCGGCTGGCCTGGGAACACCTCGGGATTCCCCCAGAGGAGTTGGACCAAGTGGCTGGAGAGAGGGAAGTCTGGGCCTCCCTAATTAAGCTGGTACCCCCCGCGACCCGACCCAGGAGAAGCAGAAGAAAATGGATGGATGGATGAATATTCATGAAATTATATCAGTACTACATAAATATTCCACATAAACCAACATTGTTTTAATTTGAAGTCTCAGATTAAACAAAATTAAATATTTGAATAAAGTTTTTTTTTTTTTTTTTTTTTTTTTTTTGGACCGATAAAATCAAGCGACAATCTGAGGAGAAACTGTTTTTATTCCATCGTTTCTACGGGGGCAGCGACCGTTCTCAGCGCGGTTCTGCCTCGTCTTGCGGGTCTAAACGGGTTCTCTACATCAGCTTAACTCTAACGAGGTGCAGCCGAGGCTCCCCGACGTGCAGCCGAGACGTCGGGCCGGTGGTTGCCAGGGAACCGGGCCGGTGATGAGCTGCACAAAAGGTCAGATGAGAAACACTGGAGGTTCTGCCGGTCCCAGCTCGTCTCCTGCCGCCCTGCGATTTCTAAAGGTGTCCACCTGAGGACGCTGAAACAGAGGACACGAAGGACTCGAATCAGACACCAGCAGAGCAGCCGAAGGTCAAACCTCTGCTCAGTCAGAATCACTTTCACCTCGCTGAATATCAGCTAAAAGAATCCTGCTTCACAGTACTAAAACTCAGAGTGAACAACTGCTGAAGTTTGTTAAAGTAGCTGAAATTCAGCTGACAAAGGGAAAACAATCAAAGCAGAAGCTAAAAGATGAAATTAGAAAACTTGTATATAGAAGCCAAAGCAAACCAAACAGTAGCTAAAAGGTAAAATTGGTAAAAGAGAAAACTACAAGCTAAAATGAGTTTTTAAAAAAAGTAGCTCGAGCTTGAAAAAAAAAATGTAGCTAGCATGTAAACTAGCAAAAAAGTAAAAACTAATTAGAAAAGTAGCTAAATTCTAAAATTATCATAAAAGTGGCTAAAAGATAAATTAGCAAAATAGTAGAGAAAAGCAAAAGCTCGACAAACAGTAGCTAAAATGTAAAACAGCAACTAAAACCTAAAACTAGCAAAAGTGTAAAAATGTAAAATTTGAATAGCTAAACTAAAGGACAAGTAAAACAGAAGCTAAAGGTTAATTCAGCAAATCAACAGCTATAAGCCACATATAATAATAGTAACTAACATGTAAAACTAGCAAACCATTTTACCTAAAATAATCAAAATAGTAGTTGAAAGCTAAAATAAATAGGAAAAAAAGCTAAAAGATTAGGTTTGCAAAATGGCAGAAAGAAACCAAAGCTAGACAAACTGTAGAATTAGCCAAAGTTACAAAAATTAATTTGTCAAATATCAGCAAAAAGCATAAACAAGCAAGACAGTAGTTAAAAGCTAAATATAACAAATAGTAGCTAAAAGGTTAAACTAGCAAAACACTATCAAAATAGTAGCTAAAATCTATAACCAGCAGAACAGCAGCTAAAATCTAAACATAGCAAAATAATAGCTGACAGCTATAATAATCAGAACAGTAGCCAAAAGCTAAAATTGAGAGAGCAGAAGCTGAAAGCTAAAACTGGCTAAACAAAGAAAAAAACAATTCTGTAACTCTGTAGCTTAAAACGAAAATTTTGTAAAACTGTAGCTAAAGGCTAAAATTCATCAAAGCTAAACGTATCAAAACAACAGCTAAAAGTTAAAACTAACATGACAGTAGCTATATGCTAAAATGAGCAGAAAAGTAAAAACAATAAAAAAGAGGAAAGTATGCTGAAGATTTCAAAGTTTTTGAAGGATTTGAAAAGTTCTCAGTTCATTTCTAAGAGAAACAAAAGTGGCCGAGGACAGGACCCTGAGTGGACCCTAACCGGACCTTCTGTGCCGTCCCGCCTCCTCACTGGTAGAACTTGATCTCGGTGTCCACGCAGTCAAAGAACAGGTCTCCCAGGTCGTCTCCGGGTATCTCCCCGCTGAGCACAGCTGAAATCTCACTCAGACACTGAGACTCCAGATCCCTCAGGACGTTGTAGACAGCAGAACCTTCATCCTGAAACACGACCAGAACCAGAACCATCTGGGTCACATGTTAGCTTATTCAGGCAGCAACGCTAAGATGACGGGGGACGACTCTCAGCTACTACCACACCAAACTTTAGCTCAATATCTATAAAACTGACCATTAGAGACGATTTTGTGTTGGCTAACTCTAATTAGCTGTGGCGGCCATCTTAGTTGATTCTAAAAGTTTATCCGTTGTAGCTCCAATGAAAACTTTCTATAAGTTTTAATAAAACCAGGTCATCGATTCTTGAGATATTTTGCTAAAAGACAAACGACATATTGAAAGAAAACCACAAAATGGCGACGCCTGTCCGAAGTATTTTTTCGTTAACTTTTCGTCCCGTACCGTCCCAACCACGTGAGTAATATTAAAGGAGACAATCGTGTGTCGCGCACAATCTTACGTTGAAAAACCGCGAAATAGCGAGGGAGTACTGTAAAGCAGCCGAAGTAAAAAAAAAATAAAAAGAGGCCGTGAACTGATCAAGAAAATTTAAAAAAATTACGAATGCTTAAAATCGGGGGAGTGGTGGCGCAGAGGTTGGACAGGGTGGGCCTGTGATCGGAAGGTCGCCGGTTCAACTTCCCAAACGACAACATGAAAATGTGTGTGGGAAAGGTGAAGCACCCACACCTGCCTCCACCCTCATTTGACCCACTCTGAGCCCTTGAGCCCTCAACCCTCAACCATCTGGGTGTCCTAGATAGCAGCTCTCTGCTCCACACGGAGGGCTGTGGTCGCTCGGTGGTCTGAGGTCGTGTCAGGAAGGACATCCGGTGTAAAAACAATGGCCAAGTTGTGCGAGTTAGTCCGCTGTGGTGACCCCTGAAGAAAGAGTAGCCGTAAAAAAAAAAGCTTTAAATCAATAAATCAGCTAAAGGTCTAACGTTCCTTTAAAGAATGCATATCACCCGCCATCTTGTTTTATGTTCATGTTGAGAAACAATAAAGTTTCACCCTTTTTTTTAAATCTCGAAAGCAACCTTTTAATCCCGTCACTGACTCTAAACCCACGGCCCAGTCTGGACCTCGGCGGGACCAAATTACCCATCATCCCTCAGTGCCCACCGGTTTGGTCTCCGTGGCGATGAGCGCCCCCTGGTGGGCTTTGTAGAGGTCGTGTCGGCGGTCCATACGGCTGTGGAAGCGAGGCTGCTTCCTGACCGGGTCGTCCGGTCCGAACTGCGGGGAGACCACCCTCGGAACCGGGGCGGAAGTGTCCGAGAAGATGAACGGCTTGAATATGGACCTGAGCAGTTGTGGACAGGGTGGACAGGAATGTGGACACAGAAAGACATAAACCATGAACCCAACGAGACAGAACCAAAAGTCCTACTACGAGATTTTACAGAGTAATTTATAAAAACAAACACTTTAGACGGACCTGGACGGGTCGGGGGTGGCGGTGAAGAAGTGGACGCAGGGCAGGCTGGAGTCCCTGGGCAGGACAGAAACCATGCTGCCTGTGGTGCGGAACCCCCCAGAGTCCATGCAGATACCGCTGGGTTTGTCCCTCAGAATGGACATCATCACCTCAGCCGTCACCGAGCCTGAGACACCGAGACAAGATGAGTCCCTGCAGTTCTTACTGAGACCAGATGAGTCCCTGCAGT